ATTCATAATTTCAATTAAATGTCTAAGCTTACAGCTACAGCAGGTTATATCTATTCATAATTTCAATTAAATGTCTAAGCTTACAGCTACAGCAGGTTATATCTATTTATAATTTCAATTTAATGTCTAAGCTTACAGCTACAGCAGGTTATATCTATTTATAATTTCAATTTAATGTCTAAGCTTACAGCTACAGCAGGTTATATCTATTCATAATTTCAATTAAATGTCTAAGCTTACAGCTACAGCAGGTTATATCTATTCATAATTTCAATTTAATGTCTAAGCTTACATCTACAGCAGGTTATATCTATTTATAATTTCAATTTAATGTCTAAGCTTACAGCTACAGCAGGTTATATCTATTCATAATTTCAATTTAATGCCTAAGCTTACATCTACAGCAGGTTATATCTATTTATAATTTCAATTTAATGTCTAAGCTTACAGCTACAGCAGGTTATATCTATTTATAATTTCAATTAAATGTCTAAGCTTACATCTACAGCAGGTTATATCTATTCATAATTTTAATTAAATGTCTAAGCTTACAGCTACAGCAGGTTATATCTATTTATAATTTTAATTAAATGTCTAAGCTTACAGCTACAGCAGGTTATATCTATTCATAATTTTAATTAAATGTCTAAGCTTACATCTACAGCAGGTTATATCTATTCATAATTTTAATTAAATGTCTAAGCTTACATCTACAGCAGGTTATATCTATTCATAATTTTAATTAAATGTCTAAGCTTACATCTACAGCAGGTTATATCTATTCATAATTTTAATTAAATGTCTAAGCTTACATCTACAGCAGGTTATATCTATTCATAATTTCAATTTAATGTCTAAGCTTACATCTACAGCAGGTTATATCTATTCATAATTTTAATTAAATGTCTAAGCTTACAGCTACAGCAGGTTATATCTATTCATAATTGCAATTAAATGTCTAAAAACATGCAAAACATACACAATGTTGATTTGCTAAAATACATCGAAAATTTGTTGAACCAAACTGAAAAAAAAGAAATAATGTTTGAATTAAAAGAGGCATTTATGGGTAAGTTTTTCTCTTAGTAAAACAAATCTAAAATGTGACAAAAAATAATTGAAAAAATGTAACATAAGGATACAAATTTGCAACAGAAGTTCCGTATTCTATGGAAATAAGGAATAAATTCAAATTTCAAAATATAAATCAAACTCTGACAAATTTGAATGAATTTAGAGTCAAGTGTCATTTATTGATGTTAAAGGGGTTGAAATTAGGGTATCATTAACCCTTTAGTGTCGACAATTCTATAATTAATCCTTTCAGACTTAAATAATAAAACGTTATAATGCCTCTCTCTAAGCTGATTGTTGGCTCTCAAATTGAGAAAGTGGCGGATATCGGGTTAAAATTAACCCTAGTAATAAAAATAAACCCAGTAAATGAGAAAACAAAATAGTCTTTTGGACAAAATGGCGAGCATTTATCTTCTGTACAATGATTTGAATGGAGTAGCACGTGCTGGAGAGAATCATCAAGTGTCACTATGACAGTATGACAGGAATGAAATCAAAATGTACACAAATAAAAAACGTCATTACCATACTTGGGTATATCTATGCATCAATTTAAAAATTCGTGTAAAGGTTATAGAAATATATTGTTTAACTAATGTAGGCAAATATATATCATGATTAAAATACATAAGTAAAAAATAATTATGAATCATAATCTGTAGTCAGACCACAAGAACCCTCAACAGTGCAGCACTGAATAAAAGATTCTAACTTCGTGGCAATTTGGATGCTACAATTAATGAAAATTATCATAATAATGGGAAGAATTATAACTACAGAATATTGAATATAAAATATATTATAATTACAAAACAAAATCTCAGGTAAAAACACGACGTTAAGAGAAAACACTTCCTGTCTGGACGTTTATGACGTCATTATTCTAGGCACGAGATCAAATGAAGATCGCCTCGTTCCTACAAATTAGCGGAAGGAAGTTGCCTTTTGCTTAAATCTTATATTATTTCAAGTTTGATTAATGTAGACAATATGATCGCAGGGGGTCATTTTTACCTGATTATAATCTCCATTATATCATATTTTTATATTTCATGTCTAACTGATAGCATTTTAATTCTTATTCCAATATCAACGTGCGTTCAGCGCGTGCCTTAATTCCAGTCTTTAAATATCATCTGCTCATGCGCGTAAAAATGTTGACAGCATGATGCCTGAGTTTTGTCGGAAATTATCGGCTAAACATCACAGTTAATTTAATTTTCCTTTAAATTATTAGCCAATTCTCGGTTCCAGGCGATTTAAAATGATGAGTGATGACGGCGAAACAAAATAGATATTCATCTAGTATTATCTCGGTATTATGGACAACTCGTGCCGCAAAAACTATAGCTTTACATTACGTATTAAATTGTATTCTATATCACATTATAATTATTACATTACAAAGTTTCTGCTCTGTGATATATAACAATACAATTCCTACATTTGAATTAAAGCTGAAAAAGTTTCTGTTCTGTAATATGACACAATATGATAATGTTATTTGAATTGATTTAAACTAATATCATAGCTTAATATAAAACTTCCATCGGTCCATTTCTATATCTCATCGGGAATTAGTTTCGAAAATTGTGTTAATAATGGGATGGGGAACACAATTTAAGTTAACGACACTTCATTCTGGTATTTCTCAGTCGGTTCCATAGCCTATAATTTTGACTTATGTGATAGACAAAACTACTTCAGATCTAGGCCATAGCAAAAGAGGTAAATGTCCAACTTTAAATACGACGATCGGATTTTGTCAGGTAATGTTCTCCATAAAACAATTCCGATGTTTTCCATCACTCAGCTCACTATAAAAGTTTTGTAGAAACTATTTACAATAATTGATCTAATTAAAGTGATTATTGGTAGAATAAGACGGATTGGAATTGGAATCAGGGCGGGCTGATGTTATTATTTCTCATGTCAATCCGTTCTCTCCTGAGATGAAATAATGAGCGTGGTGATTTTAACCAATAGAAACAGTCGGTTTACCATTGATCTAATCTTGTCACCTATAATTACTGAAACAGTATCCAGGACCGTCCACTGAGATTCCTTTCAAACCAGAAAGGATTTGTTCAAATGCTTTCCAATATGTAACTCAATGCAAAAACTTTACCTTTAACTGCTCTTAATCTGATTAAATGCAGATCTAAATGTTCCTTTAAGTGTCTCTCTTGGTTTTTGTCTATAGATAAATAAAAATGCCATCCATGATTTTCATGCAAGACATCTTCTAGGTTAATAGTAATCATCGGATCAAAGGCTCTACTCCAGGAAATCCGGAAATCATTAGCAAACATTAGCAAAACAAATCTGATCATTCTTTCAACCACCAAGAAAGGTTTCTTAAAATTTTCGATTTCTTTTCGACGTAGAGGCGAACAAATGCCTCAGAGAAGAATCAATAAAACTTAAATCCTCGTAACTGATTAAAATTGGAAGTCTGAAGCGATGCTGTGGTTTATGCCATTCTTCCCTTTACTAAGAAACAATTTAATTCCCCGGTAGCCAATTCCCAATATTCAATAACAATATTGAAGGGGCCATTAACTGCCATTGAAAAATCATCATAACTTAGTTAAAATCAGAAGTCTGAAGCGACGCTTTGGTTAATATTATTCCCTTTATCAAGAAAATAATTTAAAATCTGACCTCAGATGTATACCCAAAATCAACATGGAGACGATTACTGGCTTATTAGAATGACAAAAACAACAAGCTGACTGACTGTTTATAATATTATAATAATAGACAAGTTAATAAAGCTAGGTGAAGTCAAATATTCTCATATAGCCCAGATTGACAAGGTACAAGACGACCTCAATAAGCTCGGATATCACATGATCAGGATTTTAAAGAGTCTCTTGTCAGAAAGTGATTAAAGACGAAAATTTAGTCTTAAACCTTATCCTTTGATTGACGTTCAAATTATTTGTTCGTTTCGGGAAAGGTGAAGTTGTTTGGGTAAAACTTTGACAGTAGCCACATTTTTGTTACAGTAATCTAGATCAGTTGTCGTGTCGAATAAACGACTTTAAACTTAGAACAATATTCATCTTATTTTGAATAATGTCTCGTCGTTTTTCTACATTACCTATTAAATTACCTCCAATATCCTTCCACTAACCACTTGCCAATCATCTTGAGAAACTTACACGATACTCTGAAGTTGCTATTGAAAGAAACAATGAGAGTGGGACAAAGTCTAAAGATTAAAGTGTTAAGAAAAGGCGGTTTGTCTCATCAACTTGTAAACTGATAGTATTGGACGAGTTACGGGAGAAATTAGGCGTTAAGAATCTATTACAGACCCCACAATACACTGTTTACTATCCTCTTACTTTATTTTTACACTGCATTACCCTTCGATAGACTTTCATACAGGTTCAATACACCGCGGCCCTTTAATTTACACACATTTAGTCACCAGCCCAGCAACAGACCATGTTCAATTTAACACCGACTTAAACTTTAATTTGGTTTATTTTGTCTTTTTCAGTTCAAATGATCGCAGTTCCTCCAGGGCGGTCCGCGAACCAGAAAGAGCCTTCAGCCAGACAGAAATTCAGTCATCACCATCTAGTCCCGAATCCCGAGAAATGAGAGCTACCATGACCAGTGTTTCATTCGGATCCCTTGGAACCAACGCCCTACAGCCATTTCCAGGCATGCCGTTCCTGTCTCCGACTGTAGCGACCCCTAACGGCATGGCTATGACGTCACCATTATTTCAGTACCCAGGATTCTACTCTAGTCAAGCAGCTGCCGATTTGAAGCAGATAAGTCTCACTCAGTACCAGGCCATGAACCAAGCAACAATCGCAGCTGAAATGTCTAAAATGAAGTCGCCATTTATCAACAGAAATTATCTGGAGCTAGCCATGTTGGTCTGTAATACATTCCGCGGGAAATTATTCCCATGCACGCATTGCCGTTACGTCACCGACCGTCGTAACAATCTAAAGAGACATATTTCCACCATGCACCAGGCTTGTGATAAAGTTCTCGAATGTTGCGGAGTCAAGTTCAATACCAAGGCCTCATTACGGGAGCACATTATGATTTTTCATCATAATGGATATTCCTGTCCCTTTTGTGGACGACGATTCTGTCGAAAAGCACTATTAAAGCGCCATCTATCGGTTCATAGTGGTCAGAAGGACTACACCTGTCCACATTGCGACTACGCCACAAGTCATAAGAGTAATCTAGAACGACATAAGAGAATTCATGAAAGGATCCGATTAGGCGATGATGTAGAGATTCCGGAAACTGGCTACGATTCTTACCGGAAATCACCGATTAGTAGCGATTCCATTCCGGACACAACAATGAGAAGCGGAAATGAAGAGAAAGACGAGTATATCGATATGGAGGATAATGATTCTGATGACGACATGGATGATGATGATTTCATTGCTAGGCATCATCCCATTTCCATGACGACAAAGAATGGTGATCACAATCCCAAAACAAATATGGCGTCTGAAACCATCACTTCTAGTACCGGAACTGACGAAATTGATGTGGTTTGTACGGACAACGACGATTAGTCACAAGGTTTTATACATACGATGTCAATGTAATACAAACGGTATTATTTAGGTATTCTTAGAAGCTCGTTTTCGTGTGCACGGGATTCGTTAATTCATAGATATTAATGTATTACTGAAATCATGCTTTATGATACATTTAAAGATACTGGTGAGGCTAATTCTGCTTTTCAAACGTTTCATGGTCGTTTCCAGTTAATTTCCATATTGAAGGAACACTTTCTGTTTAATCTCTAGACTATGAAGACCATGTTTTAATGTAAATACTCCTAGTCCCCTTACCTACTAGCAGGCCAGCCCATATCACTGCCCTATGATTATATATTACCCTATTTGTTTTTTTATATCAACGATTTAGTGGAATTTTTACACTGGATCGTTATTGGATATATTATGTTTATCTAAATTGTCACTCTGGCCTTGGGTTGTAATTTAGATTGGGTCATCCCATCTCACCTGTTAGGTTGTTAAAATGTCTCTGTAGAGTAGAGGACAATATTTATTATTCACCGATTATTCTATTATTATTTATTTATTATACATTGAATGTAAATAATCAGATGAAAATTAACTATTAAAAGTTATATGTTAGATACCAGATCTTCATTTTCTTTAAAGGAATACTACGTCTTAGAATGAACATAGAATTTAAAAATGTTAAACTTGGCCAATAAGAGCAGTAGATATACCTGGTGTCATAAATAACATAACAGGATCCTTATAAATCCAAAAAACTTAGTAAGTCTCCATAAAAATGCAATTAACTATTGAAAAACGCTTAATATTAAGATTAGGCATTTTTCAATAATTATTTAGTTTTACTAATTTTCCAATTTTCCAGATTTTACAGGGATTCTGTTGTGACTTTATGACACCAGGTAAGTTCACTGATGAATATATATACTCATATTGATAATTCTTGAGAACTTAAATTTTATGTTCATTCTAAGATGTATTATCACTTTAAATTGGGGTGCATGTTTCTTCGTGTTAATACGTTTGTTGAAACGTGGCGGGTCAATGTTTGGTTGAGGGTGGGTTTAGATATACATTCACATTACGGGGGTGGTTACATAATTATCATCCTTTTATGATAGTTTTTGCAATTGTAGAGTAGGTCTCTATGAAACTTTCAATACACCAATACTTAGATGATAACGCTGAATTCAAAGAAGTCAAATTGTGACTAAGGATGGCATGTACCAGATTTGCCCAGTCGGTGTTTTTGACAGAAGGTCTTGGTCCATACGCACACATAATATCCGAACCAACAAAGCTAAAATGGGCGAAGGACATGGTAGTTTATTCAAATTTCTTCAAAACTGTATTTTACGATGTCTTACAAATTAGCAGAACAATTCACTAACAACTATACTGTGTTATGATCATGGGTGGCTTTCGACTGACTGGCGCCATTTTCAATTGATTCAAAAAAGAAATGTAAACAAAAAAACAAGCGTTCAAAAGACACGTGATATTCGCGACTAATATGATTAATGAGCGAACACAGATCTTTTGTCCTTATTGTCAAGTCTTAAAAGAATCTTCTATTCAGAAGAAACTACAGGGGACTGTATGATACGATACGAATACAGCGTGTCATCCAGCTAAGTTTTCAGGTAGCTTTAATGTCGTGAGTAACAGATCATGGGTAGACTTTCTGTACCTTTAACACTAGAGATTTCCTAGCGATCAGTCAATCAGTTCCGGGTCACAGAGCGCCCCCTGCTGGTTGTCATCCATTAAACGTCACAACCGACGACTTGAAATGGCTGGGTGATAAAATTTAACATATTATAGATATATAGATCAATTTAATGGTATCAACAAGTCTTTAGTCAGATTAATTCACCGTGGTCATAAAATCATAGAGACAGTAAACGGTGACAGATTGAACTCCGCCTTAGGTTTAAAGCACTGAGTAGGTAGGCAGGTTTATCCTTATTAATATCGGCCCTACTGGACTAAATGAACCTTGGATTGATTGTCTTTGGATTTCCAAATACTGCGATTTTTAAAAGGGATTTAAAAACTGTTGTCTGGTTATGACGGCAAAAATATCGCAAACGCCATTTGACTCTAAAAATATTAACGATAATGATCTTATAATCGTGTCAGATTCTGTCCTGAAAGTTTGTTTGTATATCTTGTATTGTCATTCAAACATAGTTGACAAAAAAAAACACAAATCATAACTCTTATTGCAACCTCTTCTTCTATACAAAGTGAAATCCAGTTTCTGTGATGTGAATCGAAGAGGCTTTTCTGAAAGAGGTCCGGTTTGTAACAGTCAGAAATCGAAAAAATTTTGAATTAAAAAAGTGGAATATAATTATAAAATAAATTATGTTTTTAAATTATATTCCAGTTTTTTTATTCAAAATTTAAAAAATGAACCACCGTACTATTAGGCTAATGACGTGAAAAGTTGTAGGCTGCAAAACTCAATATCATTCGAATTTATGAATTAACAATGTAGTTATGTAGTTACAATGTTTTACTATGAACCTTAAGATACTAACGTCATTCAAGTCTGATTTTATAGAATAACCTACAGATACTTTCTTCTAGTTTTTCCAAGCAATCAACATTTGTCATTTTCATGCTCTATTGATTTTAAATTTTTATGTTAATTAGATAGCAATAAAGAGCGGTGAAGATGGATATAAACCCGACGAAGAATTGCCCTACGTAAAGAGAGTAATCACCATGAAATTTAGAGCGCAACATCCGAGTCCAGAGGTCTCTTAGCGTGTACTGCATCGTAAATCAGTCTGGAGCTCCACATGAGACCTATTGTTCACGATGATGACAATAATTGCTTCAAGTCGTAAAATACAGATAATGGAAGGTAAATGGCGCCTTTGTAATTCAGAAAATCTACCTATAAAAATATGACATCACCTTATTCAAGTATTGCAGTGGTGGTGACAGTCACAAATAAATAATCATAAAGAGAAGGGGATTTTTATGCAATTTGGTAGTTGCTGTGGGTAAGGCACCGGAGACGAGATGGCAGTTTTATAGCTTACTTAAGGTATTTAGTCAAATCCATGGTAAAGCCACACATTGTCAATATAAACCTTTCTGTCTGGCAATCTAGAAAACTTAAAATTTATAACTTCAAACATTGATCGACTGTATCCATTTGAACATCTTTTTATTGAGTACATTGACCATTATCCATGGGTATCAAAATATTCCCCTCAAATAATATTTCAATGGTGATTTATCGGTTTCAGGTTTACCTTAAGGTTATATTGCGTGATAGTTTCAACCGCCACCCGTTTACTCCCTAACCAGGTGCAGTTATAGTGATGCGGTTGGATCGAATGGTTTAAAAAATAGCTTCATTCAGCATATCCTTTATTTTTTAGACTGATCATGGCGATAAAGACAGGCTGTGAAATATATATTGACTATGTAATGTTATTGTTGTCCTGATTATCATTATTATCTCCCTTTAACTACTTTAACGTCAACGATAATTCTGTGATCAAATTAGCGATAGATGAACTCACTTCATCTCATTTGCCATCTCTTCCCATGTTAAACACGAAATTCAACCTTCTACAACTTTTTCCAGAAATCTCGTTGAAAGCTGAATGAAAGCCTTACCATCCTAAAAAATTCAATATATGATGACCATGAAAATTTTGAGCTGGTCAAATTGAAAGTAGACTACTACCGGTTATACTCATCCGCTAGAGTTTGGCAGTCCATCCGCCTTTAAATCTCTCATCATCTCACAAAATCTGAAAGATAATGCAATTTCAGACATCAAATTCCAAATCTATACCAAAAATTAATTACCCCAAAAAAGGGATGCAAAAAAACCCTTAAGGGAGACAGAAAGATAGGCCTACAATCATTTCCATAAAATGTTTTAGTGGAGTGGGTCCAAATTATCGATAGAAAACCACTGACTTATTTAAATTTACCTCCCTTATACCACTCTATCAATGGTGATTGTTTTGTTGTTCAACAATGATTCAGAGATTCATTCGATTAATATCATAATGATGTTTAATAATTATATATATCATAATGATATTATTGAAATAATTCTCTGATTCATTATACTACAACTCACTTAATCTGACATAATAGTCCCTTGCATAATTCGGAATCCAAGTGTTGTTGCTAATGGGTACAGGCACACCAGTGACAAGTTGTTACATGGCCTTATATGGAAACATGGGAATGATAGGATGATATTAGCAGCTGCTCTGTAATACAATAGTGTACATACACCAACAGAATCTTTCCTTGGGGTGTATATGATTTCTGATATTCCGTATAGCTATCACTCGACGTGGTTCGGCGGGCCTGTGACCACTCTTGTATAGGCTTTTCGTAAGACATTCAGTCTATTTCCAATCAATAATGAAAAAGGTATGTTAGTAGTCGATTTCATATTATGTTTGAATGGATGCCAATGTGTCGATGTGTTTGATTTGAATGAGAGTGGGGGGATATAACTGTACTCTCCTTTCCTTGTGTTCATCTTATGCTCTGTTGTCACTTCAGAACTTTGACTGATGGACGGACTTAAAATTGTCATTCAGGTCCTCAACATGAACCTTTTCGCCTTTAAAAACCTTGGTATTATGACCTTTTCAAATATCAAGTTTTCAATTGTCTAATTTGTCATAGACAAGATGAGACCTTGATATTACGGAGATGACATAATTTAGGACTTATATAGTAATGGTATAGAGCTAATGCAAGTCACGGCAAGACATCTTCCAAAGTTGCTCACAAATTTCAAGTCCCAAATCAAATAAGGAAACAAGAAAGTTTGCAAAAAATTATTTTCAAACTTTTTTATTTTTTGCCTCGGTCGAATTTCTACAATTTACAAGGCGTGGTATTAACAAAGAAACATGATGTTTCCCTTGACATGTGTATAACCCCTTATTAACCAACATGTCGCATAATGTATTCATAACTTTAGTCTACAAACATTCGAAAACCTGAGACAATTTGCTTGCTGTTTTCGTCCTCGAATTCCGTGAAGAGAAAAATTGAAAAGACAAAATACAAAAAATTCAACAGAGTAGTTATTTAAATTAATAGAACATAATTTTTACAAAATTGTTGGAAGTTCTGACTCACACTAGTTTGATAAAAACTGACTTTTGAAAAAAAAATGTTTGTATTTTTGGAGGAAATTCTTGATAGTCAATTGAAAAAATTGAAATAAGTTTTCCACCAATAAACAGCGAAAACAAACACATAATCATCAATAGGCCACCATAGAATTGTTGATATCCTAGAAACATAGCGAGTAACTTAGAAGCATTTTCTGTGGACGATGGATGGACCGGATTCATCATATTCTTGTTTGGAGATCCACATCTGTTGGAAGGTTGAGAGAGAGGCCAAGATGGAGCCACCAATCCAGACGGAGTATTTCCTCTCGGGTGGAGCAATGATTTTGATCTTCATTGTGGATGGAGCAAGAGAAGTAATTTCTTTCTGCATTCTGTCGGCAATACCAGGGAACATGGTGGTTCCACCGGACAAGACAGTGTTGGCGTACAAGTCCTTTCTGATATCAACATCGCATTTCATGATGGAGTTGTAAGTGGTTTCATGGATACCAGCAGATTCCATACCCAAGAAGGATGGTTGGAAAAGTGATTCGGGGCATCGGAATCTCTCGTTACCAATGGTGATGACTTGACCATCAGGTAATTCGTAGCTCTTCTCGAGGGAAGAGGATGAAGCGGCGGTGGCCATTTCTTGTTCGAAGTCGAGGGCGACATAGCAGAGTTTTTCTTTGATATCTCTGACGATTTCTCTCTCAGCGGTGGTGGTGAATGAGTAACCTCTTTCAGTTAAGATTTTCATCAAGTAATCAGTCAAATCTCGACCGGCCAAATCAAGACGAAGGATGGCATGGGGTAAAGCGTAACCTTCGTAGATTGGGACTGTGTGGGTGACACCATCACCGGAGTCGAGGACAATACCTGTGGTACGACCGGAGGCGTACAAGGACAGCACAGCTTGGATGGCGACGTACATAGCTGGTGCGTTGAATGTTTCAAACATGATTTGGGTCATCTTTTCTCTGTTGGCTTTAGGATTCAATGGAGCTTCAGTGAGGAGGACTGGATGTTCTTCTGGGGCAACTCTCAATTCATTGTAGAAGGTGTGATGCCAGATTTTCTCCATATCATCCCAGTTGGTGACGATACCGTGTTCAATGGGGTATTTCAAAGTGAGGATACCTCTCTTGGACTGGGCTTCATCTCCTACGTAGGAGTCTTTTTGACCCATACCCACCATGACACCCTGGAAGATACAAGATAAAATATTATAAGTAATGGTTGACAAATTAAACAGCAGAGGTGAACACGGAGATGGATTGCGTGACAAGACGTTGATACGTAAAACGAACACGACATGAGACGTAATCTCACGCGCTCGAGTAGACGAGAATAGAGTCGAAGAAATTTATATGGGTAAGTGGAATCAAGACTGCCGAAAAAGATAATTAGTGCACAAATGTTTTTGAATTAAATTGGCGCAGTAACTATTGTCACAAAATATTGTATAAAATTCCATACATGTTTGCAGATGTGAATTTTTCATAGTAGGGATCATGATAATCAGCGCTTAAGATAACTCTGATTAAAAGCTAAGTTGTAATTAATTGGTACCACATTGTAGAAATGATCATGTATAAAAGTTATAATGATAATAAAAGAAGTCTGTAAAAGGAATCAGCCAGATGCAGATAAAGAATCATGATAGAATTACATCTTGAAATTAATGCTGCATGACACCATGGTAACCGTGTAGTATATCACGTGACGGAATGATGTCATGCACTCCATGCTATGCCCATATTTGTCGATTAGGGCGCGCGCGTGTAGTGGAACACGTGTGTGTACCGGTATACTATACCGGCTAAACAGCCCGCCATTTTTGGACTGATGCTTTCGATTTTGAATTCTTTTTCATTTTTTTCATACAATTTTTCTCTTTGATTTACTGTTCTTATTTATTATTCCAAAATTTCAAATATGATTTTGCCCTATCTTTTAGATTCGTAAGACTAGACCTTGAAATAATTTGGCACTAAAATCGTTAAGCGTGGGTCATATGAAAGTTTGCCAACTATTGTTGCCAATTTTCATTCATTTGTGGTTTCAAGAATCTTGCCAAATAAGCAAAACTAAATTCGAGTACTATCGTAAAGAATGCTGATATTCTAGTGAACGTCAGTTTGATACAGAAATTTCCCCTTTTTTTACCCAATATATATATTTTATATTGATCAAAAAGCAGGAAATGAAAAATGAAAAATGATATTTTTATGCAATCTGTTTCAGTTGATTCAGTCACTTCCAATTTAAAATATGATCAATCGTTGTCATTGTAGGCCTTTGTTCAAAAGACCTTCCTTATGCTACTGAATTTGCCAGTATTTCCCTAATGTAGTTTGCTATTTCACACTATTTATCAATGGATATGATGAAACAAAATAGTAAATTTGAATCTTAATTCTAACATTTGCTTTGATGTATCTTATTTCGAGGCAAATATTCATCGATTGCCCATTGCTGAAGGCTGAATATTCTTTCATATTAAACTTGCTTACTTATCAATTTTGTTTCCAATTTATCCATAATTAATTTTCAATCACATTGTATAATCCAAAAGCAATCTAAGCTTTTAATAAATTCGAAATCACAAATCCAATGCTCAAAATAAAACAATTCACAATGGTATAAGACAAGGTTACCACATTAGCCCTATCTTATTCAATATATCCATTGATAAATAGTAAAAATACTGAAAATTAGAATAAAAAATAGTTATAAACTGACCTGATGTCTGGGGCGTCCAACGATGGATGGGAAGACAGCTCTGGGAGCATCATCTCCGGCGAAACCGGCTTTGCACATACCGGAGCCATTGTCTACAACGAGAGCTGCTACTTCGTCGTCGCACATTTTGACTTGTTACTGTGTACGATCTAACTACTGTGCTGTCTATTCACGACTGGTGAAAGAGTAACGATGCCAATGGCTTTTATCTGCCCTCCTTCACTGATTCCAAGAAATCGCGAAGACTGTCTGAGTAACAGGCGCCATATATGGTATTGACAGGGCGGCGTATATGGTCAGCTGTATTGAGTGTATGATGGGAAGCGGGATGTCGGTAGAAGTATATTATGATTGTTAGATGGACTATCGTACATGGTGATTGATAATTTACCCCCTGGGTTCTACCCTAACCTCTAGTTTGATCTATTATATAATAACCATATCATTCTGTATCTTCCTGATATTATTACACTTAACTTACTGGCTATACAGCATAGAATTATCAACAAACTTATTCATAACATACATTAAAAATATTGTGAAGATCAATGAGATAACCGTTAATATAAAGCCTACAAACAGGGCATTTTTAATTGGAAAAAAGGGAATATAATCATTTAAAACTGCTGAATTTGCCTTTTCCAAGGATTAATATACCCACCGATTTGTAGCACTTTTATAATATACATGTTTGTTCTGCATATATCTATGATTCATGGGGTTATTAATTATTCTGACCTCCAAGAAATTAAGTTTCATCTTTAATGTAATATTTTCAACAATATTTAAAATAATTGTTAGTTGTTCCTCGAAAAAAGTAGAAACCTGACATATCTAAAATTATTGATTTCTAAATATTACTCATCGATGACAAAACTTGAGTTGGCTGGTGACATATATAGATTGGTATAGATCGGGGATTATTTTTACCTTGGGATAAATTACACTAAATTACACTGCAATATTAAGAAAGGGGGGGGGGGGGGATTAGATATACTTAAGAAACTAAAATTTGCTATAATCGATCAAAACATGAACATGTAATTTCATTGTTTACAAATGGCTCGATACTTTTATAATTGGCCCATGATAGTTGATTCTTTAGCCTTATTTGGTATTCTCTAAATCTATAGTTCAAACTATTTATTTCTATAAAGCGATAACCACACAGTCTTTAATTTTAATATGAATGATAGTAATTGTCCCAAATTTTAGAAAAACAAACTCAGCAATTTATTACGATGACTATGAAAGTAAAAGTAGAAGTTCCGGTATTTTATGAAGCTATTTTTAGATTAACTATGATGAGAGAGATTTCCTCTATTATGTCTATAGTATAAGTAATAACATGAAAAAATGAAAGTAGTATTATGATTATATGAAAAAAGACACATGTTGTTAACATCATTACCTAATTTAAAACGGCCAACATCTGGACTATATCATATCATATTAATGTAATTAATTTTTACTTAGAGATCAGAGGCTATATCGGGGGTTCAAAGATAACAAAAACTAAATTTTAAGCCACAAATCTCTGTATGTTTGAAATGTTATTCTTGTTAAATCGGGTATGAGTGCTTCAAAATGCCCTTTAATCTCAATTTTTCGCCTGTGTATATTACTGCGATTAACGACATGTTAACATTTGCATTTTAATCAGATGGAGAATTACTTAATCTGGAATCGATCCTGAATGATAATGGTAAAACTGTTTACCCTGATGATCTATACTCATTGATAATACGCACATAATATTGTCTATTTCACTGACCAAAATCGAGAGATTTGTTAGTAGTTAAATATTAAGAAAGTGGTAAGATTGTATAGAAATTATGAGGTAGCCTATCGGAATTCTAATTAACATTGTGTATTGTACCGATAATATCTTCTATTCATGATCTCATCGATTGTTGCGAATTTGATTATAAATAAACCAAGTTCTAACGATCCGAACCGCAAAACGAAACCCGAAATGAAAACAACATACTGGCAAAACAGTGGTAGCGGCATATGAACTTTCACATGAGGAAGTACATCAATCATAAGTTAGTCGAATTTGTAAAGAAATGCCATTGGTTAGAACGCCCCCCCCCCCCTCCTTTATATATTTTTATGTCAACGCCAATGTTTTCCAGGGTAGACTTTCAATTTCCTCCACAAAGTTCCACCGTATTAAGCTACTTTGCTTTGTTTGGCGTTGCCCAGTGTACCAACACCGTCCACTCACAGTTAGATGGGCAAATTGTTCTAGGGTTGTTTCTGAAGTTGGTGATAAGAATTGGTGAGACATTGTCTACATTATGGCCCTTAACTTCAGAATTACACAATTTACACCCTTGTAAGTTACAAAATGCTTTCTTGTGAACACCTTTTTGTGCTATGCCTGCCAATCATTATGTCAATCATAAAACAATGTGAAATGAAATATATTGGTTATTACTCATTATAACTTAGATACACATCAGATTACAGATACCATCATCGTTCTGAGAGCAGCAAGCTAGAACATGTATTTGGCAAGAAGGCACAGGATACTAAAGGTATTAAGGTATAGATGTAAATGTTATTTTACTTCGTTGTCAAGATCTATGAAATAAGGCAACAAGTAGTTGACAATATAAACAAAGAGTTGTTGACCCTCTTCTGTTTTTAAATTACTTTGCCAGGATACAGTATTGAACATTAAACTCGTCCCATATTCAGCAAGACAGTAGTTGTAAATGTATTTTCGCACATTTGAGAACATTCAGGTTACCAGGTAGTCTGATAACCCACCTTTAACGTTAAAAAGATATATTGATGCTGTGTATCTGATATTGGTCTAGAAATATCAACACCCACCCACACCTCTCACCTATTTAGAAATTTTACAGCTATTTTCATACCTCGTTTAAATTTCATGCTTGCCGTAACTTTATTTTTGGATATTGACTACAGCCAATTTATTCAACACAAACCACTTCAAGAGTTGTAATATGGTCTCAACCTACCGGGAATATTTGATCGGAAGACTGAACGAATTGAAAAGCTAAAAGATTTGAATACATTAGATGAAAGATGAAAGCTTTTAAAATTTGATTTGGATCAATGAAGCAAATGAAACTGTTTAAGTATTTTGTTTCGTTATGATATTAATAAAACGTTTTACATAAAGCTGATGCCACTGATTATAAATTCCTCAATTCAACATCTCGGTCTGTTATATGAATATCAGTATTAACTTTCAATGAGGAATATTTGATGGTATTTTTTATTTGGCAAGATGGTTCACCTTGAAACTATGTCTAAGAGATAAATACAGTAGAATTGAAGGTGTGTCTGGAATGGGCGTGGCTCATATTACTCTAGACTGACATTTACTTATCTAATAGTGGTGTGCAGGTAATACCATAGTTTTTATAATAAACATAATATCAATAACACATGATCTCACAGACTTTATGCTTAGTCGAAAACTACTAGAAGGGAAGAATTCGGGTGAATAGAATAACAAAATATATATCAGCAACTGTATTCTCTGATGAGGATTGGAATAAACAAATACCAAGTGGCCCAGGTGTTCTGAAAGGGTGGAAATGTTCTGTTTCGCAAGCATCGCACTTGATCTATTAACATTGTTAAACGGTCTGGGAAATCGGACAAGTAACATAGTCGTAGGCCTACGTCTAGGGTGTAGGAGTAAGAATCGGGTATGACAATAGCTCAAATAGATGAGTGACTGCCAGTGGACCGTGAGTGGCCCCTTCCACTGGAATTTTCTTTTCATGCTCTCCTGTAGGGCCCCCTTACAGGTGGGGCCTGTGGACTTGGAGAAACTTGTCCCTATATGGTAGTAAAGCTACTGGGGTATTGCAAAATGAATTGAATAACTAGGTTTATGTTCCAAATGTTCGCTCAATATTAGGTTATATTATGATCATAGTGTACATCAACTAATTGCAAAGAGTCCACATAGCTTATATTGTTGTGGTGTGATAAAGCAACCAACATTTCTCTATCTTAACTGGTAAAATGATCATCTACTTAACGATTTCCACATATCTAGAGCACGTGTCACTTACATTAGTCTGGTAGTTTGATAGAATGAACTTTTTTTTTAAATATTTTTCATCCAAATTAGGCAAAATGTCACATTGAGTTTGTCATCTCGGAGCCTTGAATATTTTATGTATACTTGAAGCAGTGGACTTTTTTTTTTTTTAAAAAAAGTAAGGCGGGTTATTTTTTGACCTATTTGTGAGACAAATTCAAATATTCTGGAATGAAACAGATGCTGGTTCTCAGATGTCGACCCTGACACTGAGGTCTGGTATGAAATATATAATGTACTGTGCTGATATTGTGGTATACAGATGTAAAAGGCGGAAAGAGACTCGTATTATTGCACCATATATTCGCTTTTCAGAAATCATGAGTATATTATATCAAGGGATAGAATTCGGGTGTAACTGTAAATGAGGAACGAAATGACACACCCAGGTTCACTAAAAGGCCTTAATATTAAATAGAGGTCTAAATTTCAAACGTTATCAGCTGGTTAGTAGTTAATCCTAGAAATATAAATTAAATTGTTTGAAATGGTGATGGGATTTATTCTGATTCTTGTTTTTCGCCTCATAAGTGGAATGGAATATTGCTTCTCTAACGTTAGTCCTCAGGTTATTATACTACACATAAATATTTCTAGCCATTCAAAAAATTTTTCCATTTCTAGGAGTAGATTGTGTGCAATGGAATTCAATGAATGGAATTGAAATCCAAAAGCAGTCTAATTTATCACTGACTTTAAGGCTGCTGCTATTTAAATCTAAGTCTGACTATTCCAAAAAGTTGGCCAAAGACATTCATATTTTACTAACAGAAATCTTAAAACGACACTCTTAATATGGAACTACAGGAATCCCCAACATTATACTTGTTGCTAAAAATATCTCATTGAATTTTCCCACGCTCGCTCGACATATATGGTAAGGGGTGCAGTTCCAACGTTGACTGACATATAGAAGAATCACCCAGACGTTCATATATAAGAAATTTAAAAGGCTTCATTGCGACTTGATAATTAGCCTACAGACGATCCTAACGTGCCGAGATGATGCCAATCTCCCGCCTCTACTAGACATTTCGATTTTCCAGACGGTTTTAGACACAGAAATAGAGACTAAGTAATCTAGACTATTTACTACGAATTCCTCTCTGTGTAGGTAGGAAACAATCTCATAGTCGGTTAGAAAGATAGTGACAGAAAATAATGGATAATGATGAAGTTTGGAATGAATTAACGGCGGAATGATGAAGTGTAAAGAGTCTACGTCACAGAAAAGATATATTGTGTAGACGTAAAAAACTCATTTGATTTAGTCAAAGATAACCGACCTATATCTATTATGTAGGTTGCACTCGAAGCTAACCCAAGGTCTCATCGGTCAAACTTTTCAAGGGGAGGGGGTGCAAAGTATTTCCTGAGCACCCACCATATCCTTACCCACCGGCCTATTAGTACTACAGGTATGAATGTGTAAGAACACATGACATTTTTAAACCTTTTTCTAAATTTCAAAGAATGCACGGTGACTCTAAAAGACACTCAAAATACCCCCCCCCCCCTTCTCTCACGTACACGCACACACCCACACACAAACAAGATCTCTCTTGAATCCCTTTAACAAATGAACTGCCTTATTTTTGCTGATTAGAGTATAGTACCATAATACCTAGAATGATGCCAACATATCAATATAATTATTCTATGGCTGAAACAATTAAACATGGTTAAACGTGCAGTTTGCAGGAATTCTTGAAGTATAAACGAGATTTTAATCTGAAGTATTTTAACGATTTGAACACTGACAGTGTTAAATGCAACATGTTGTATCAGTCTGGGGCGTGCTATGACCATATATGGTGTTATAAACCTGGCTGACCAGTGGCCAGTCTGTGAGAGTCAGTTGTAATGAGTCGAGCAGATGTTGAGTGAAATCGGTAGAATGTAAAATGAGTAAGATGTTAGATGATAAACATTGGTTGGGATTTCAACCTAATACCATTTATACATAGAACTATCTTGTTCTTTAGGAAGTAGTTTATTATCATAATATATGGAAAGGATTGGAATCAATCTTTCGTCGAATATAAAACGTTTATCACAATTCATATAAGGTCCTATTTGCAGGATTTCATGTGTCATTATTAACATATACATAATAAACGATCATTTATTTAAACCCGTATTCCCGTATTCCCTTACTCTATAGAACACCGAAAATGCTAGCAGGGAAACGGTTTCTCGTCTCGATGTTTTACATACAGTAGCGCATGGTGTTTAGTTTTATTGTTCCTTTCAACTGAAAAGCAGTCAGTTCCTCCGAACTATATCATTATCAATAGGAAACAGAGTTTAAAAATGCCATCTCGACGTTACGCTTTGGCCACAAGTTAGCAATCAAGCGACATACCCAGATATTTGTGGAGGGGGGTAGACGTGAGTGTTGGTTGTTGAGCTGATTGTTTGGCATTTGCAGATTCGGGTCAGTTTAACTAAAGCTCATCTCATATTGTTGTCACGCGTTTGTTTAGGATATAAAATTATCACCAGTATATCAGAAATGGGTCCAAACTTTGGGAGAAGACGATCTTACTGAACAAGGGCGGATATGGGATGGATGCGGTCGTTCAAAATGGCCTGAATATCCCATAAAAGGTTTTATAAGAGCTAATCTCTTATAGAAGCACTGGCCTAGGTCACAAGTAGTGACTATGGATTTCATATTGGATTTTTTATTGGAATACATCAATTTGATGAGAAGTTTCCTACTTCTGGAAAGATTTACAAGATAAACAATTTTTCAATGAAAGGGGATCTAATCTTCCATGCCCCCTATGTACACCTGTTAAGTTTCTGCTCGAATTGTGGCACTGATTGGTGTATTGAGTTTATGCCAGCCAGCTACTCCGGTAGGCCTGTAGTGTTTATATAACTAAACGAACCATACTATATACTCTACATACATACACACTAGTCACTAGTCGGTCGGTATTTCATCAGCAAACTAAACTTGGCATCAACACGCTCTCTTAGTCTGAATTCTAAGAAAACCAGCGGAAGTGGAGAATACATTGAACCGTATTTAGTAACAAGTATGGGATAGTAGAATCTATAGTAATAATGTTGAGTAGGCCTCTAGGAGTATGGGCCTTGGAGTTTGGTATAGTCCCAATCATAGCCTACTCTTTTCAGCCATAGTTTTTTTCAGTTTTAGATTGGTGTAGAAAGAAATGAAAAGGAGTTTTGCCTCCTACTTTTCTGCACTAACGAAGACAGGCAATACTATGCATAATTCTTTTTCTATCTATTTCCAACTGTCGACAGATATCCAAAGTGCACAGTTTAAGGGTCTGAGTTTCATGTCCCCTAGATATATTTCAAAGTTATCATCTTCGACCTTCATCACTGGCAACGTGGGATTGAAAATGCTCAAATCGAGATTTCACCTGGATCCTCCCCTTAGTATGTCTAGCTAGCGTTGAGTATCGGAAAGAATTTATAGGTACGGTATAAATAATTGCTGATTTGCTGGTCTACATCTTTATAGGCTTAATGTTCTACGTTCAACAATGTCAATAAAATAATCTAGAAACATTATACTATATCATCATGTAGCTTTGCCCATTCTCAAATGTGCGTCATGGACTACAAACTACTATTTTGAATATTTCTCATTTTCATTCTAATCAAGGCAAGTTGATGGCAGAGGGCTCCACGACATCATTTCCAATATTTACACGGACTTTAAACTCCATGCACGGATATTAGGCGTTCATCAAAATTACAAGAGTTATCCCCCTTTTATCAAATTTGTTTACAAATTTTTATTTATTCATTTATTCAATATAAGCTCACATAATTATATCTTATGTTACTAAAAATCAAAATACATAAAGCTATTTATCAGTAGTTTTATACTGAAGTTGACAGAAACATGGTAAGACATGGTAATACAGACAAAAGGAATCTATTTCTTGTAGTGTCACTTGTTATACTGAATTTGTTGATGATAAGCGTGATGTAGTCGATGTGTATGACATTATGTCCATGACTCATGAGGCGTATAGGAATAAGTGATTTTGGGTAGTTGGTTTGTCGATTTTTAGACTTGTATCAGAATTGGAATTGAGGTTCTGTGGGCCCTAATTTTTTATTTCAACAAATTAATAATGACCCATGTTTTTTTGATTTCATAGTTGAGTTATAAACCTGAACAGAACCATTTTGAAGATGGATCAATACCAGAGCAAGGGTCATCATAGACCCCATTATGATTCTTATAGAACCAATTCATACATTGTTAAGGGTATATAGACTTGTATAGAATCATTCTCATACCATATTTATTGTGAGGAACATGACTATATGATCAACAAGTCTTATCAGTGGTGAGAATATCAGTCTGTTCTAGTAAATGTTGCAAGAACCATACTACTTTTGATAATTTGTAGTTACTTTAAGTAGTAAGTCTATCTGACTGAGCCTGATATTGTTTTAATTGTAGGGTACACCTATAAAAGATGTGTCAATACCAGATAATGCTCCTAAAGAATTACTTCTCTCAAAACATGCTGATTATATTGGTGCATATGGGTCAAAGAAAGATGACTATGTAAGCATTATCTTGTACAGAAACAATTTCTATTAGATTCTTCTAAAGATTCCTTCTTTCATGTGCAATTTAGAAATTTTAATCATCATATAAGAATGAAATATCAAGATTTCCTATATGCAGAGTTGTCTCTATTATATGTAAACATTCATGGTATTCGAGTACCAGTGCTACTATTTACTCTAAATGTACCGAATCTGAAATTTTGTGTGAAAATATGATTAACAGAATTGTATTTGGTTATTAAATTTACTATCTAGATATCATTGAGATTGGAATTGGAGTGGAAATCCTGTTTAACACTATTTTTTGTTTAAATAGGAATATGTGATGACAGAATATCTGAGAATGAATGGTATCTACTGGGGATTGACTGCTATGGATCTAATGGATGAATTAAAAAGAATGAATAAAGAAGAGGTACTGGTGTTTGTTAAGCAGTGTCAACATGAGTCTGGTGGAATTAGCTGTAGTGTAGGACATGATCCTCATTTACTCTGTACCCTCAGTGCTATACAGGTTAGTGTAGGACATGATCCTCATTTACTCTGTACCCTCAGTGCTATACAGGTTAGTGTAGGACATGATCCTCATTTACTCTGTACCCTCAGTGCTATACAGGTTAGTGTAGGACATGATCCTCATTTACTCTGTACCCTCAGTGCTATACAGGTTAGTGTAGGACATGATCCTCATTTACTCTGTACCCTCAGTGCTATACAGGTTAGTGTAGGACATGATCCTCATTTACTCTGTACCCTCAGTGCTATACAGGTTAGTGTAGGACATGATCCTCATTTACTCTGTACCCTCAGTGCTATACAGGTTAGTGTAGGACATGATCCTCATTTACTCTGTACCCTCAGTGCTATACAGGTTAGTGTAGGACATGATCCTCATTTACTCTGTACCCTCAGTGCTATACAGGTTAGTGTAGGACATGATCTTCATTTACTCTGTACCCTCAGTGCTATACAGGTAACTTAGTGTCATATTGTTGTTGTTATATTGTTTCGTGCTTGTTGTCAGTAAAAGGTAGTAATAATATATGAATATAAAAAAATGGGTTTTAAAATGAAGAAAATAATCTAAAAACATCTGACATCTACACTATACATATCAATAGACCCCCCCCGGTTCTCAACCTGGCGTGTTTTCACCCCCAAGGGACTAGGTTGTCAGGGGTGTGGCCAACTGGTGTAGCAGAAGAGTTTATTTTGAGACAGCAACTCGCATCATATGCTGGAAATGTGGATGAAACAAATTTTTTGGGGGTGCGAAAGGTTCAAGGGGTGTGAGACTGAAAAAGGTTGGGAAACACTGCAATAGACTAATCAGCAGTTCTCTATTAATTTAATTATTAAATCTATTAATTATTATCTATTAGGTTAATGGAGATCCAATGTACAATTCTGAAATTTACTCAATAATACCTTTTGTTGCTTCCCAACATGACTTGAAGAGTTATCACCCTTAGTGTTACCATTCTTTTACTCTTAGATACTGACCCTATATGATGCTCAAGACACTATAGATTGTGATAAAGTTATTATTATATTTCTAGATACTGACCCTATATGATGCTCAAGATACAATAGATTGTGATAAAGTTATTATTATATTTCTAGATACTGAAACTATATGATGCTCAAGACACTATAGATTGTGATAAAGTTATTATTATATTTCTAGATACTGAAACTATATGATGCTCAAGATACAATAGATTGTGATAAAGTTATAATTATATTTCTAGATACTGAAACTATATGATGCTCAAGATACTATAGATTGTGATAAAGTTATTATTATATTTCTAGATACTGAAACTATATGATGCTCAAGACACTATAGATTGTGATAAAGTTATTATTATATTTCTAGATACTGAAACTATATGATGCTCAAGACACTATAGATTGTGATAAAGTTATTATTATATTTCTAGATACTGAAACTATATGATGCTCAAGATACTATAGATTGTGATAAAGTTATTATTATATTTCTAGATACTGAAACTATATGATGCTCAAGATACAATAGATTGTGATAAAGTTATTATTATATTTCTAGATATTGACCCTATATGATGCTCAAGATACAATAGATTGTGATAAAGTTATTATTATATTTCTAGATATTGACCCTATATGATGCTCAAGATACTATAGATTGTGATAAAGTTATTATTATATTTCTAGATACTGAAACTATATGATGCTCAAGATACAATAGATTGTGATAAAGTTATTATTATATTTCTAGATATTGACCCTATATGATGCTCAAGATACTATAGATTGTGATAAAGTTATTATTATATTTCTAGATATTGACCCTATATGATGCTCAAGATACTATAGATTGTGATAAAGTTATTATTATATTTCTAGATATTGACCCTATATGATGCTCAAGACACTATAGATTGTGATAAAGTTATTATTATATTTCTAGATACTGAAACTATATGATGCTCAAGATACAATAGATTGTGATAAAGTTATTATTATATTTCTAGATATTGACCCTATATGATGCTCAAGATACTATAGATTGTGATAAAGTTATTATTATATTTCTAGATACTGAAACTATATGATGCTCAAGATACAATAGATTGTGATAAAGTTATTATTATATTTCTAGATATTGACCCTATATGATGCTCAAGATACAATAGATTGTGATAAAGTTATTATTATATTTCTAGATATTGACCCTATATGATGCTCAAGATACTATAGATTGTGATAAAGTTATTAAATGGGTACAGAGCTTACAGCAAGATGATGGTAGTTTCTATGGTGATAAATGGGGTAATATATAGTAATATTTCCTATTCTAACATCACTCCTGTCTTTGAACCAGTTACCTCAACCTCTGCTTATCATATTTTTATGCAATATGTTACATAATGAATTGTGTTAACAAACCAATAATGAAATTGAGATCTACATATTTGTACCATAGAAAGTTGCTGTTAATGACATAAGATATCCTGATGTTAATCTGTTGTAAGGTACATTAACGTTGTAGCTTGTTTCATGACCATTGTGTTTTATAACAAAGAGGTCAATTTGATTATAATAGAGTAAAAGAGTTATTAATTATGAACATTTACTCAGAATTCAAGAAGGGCATAGCGACAATCAGTTTAACTGTTAAAGGTAAAATTTTGTACTATTACCATTGATTAATTTTTACAGATGAATTTGTTTGTCTCTTCAGGAGAGGTAGATACCAGGTTTTCATTCTGTGCTGTGGCTTGTTTATCATTATTGGTAAGTTGATAACAATTTTTAACAATTTCCATTCGAATCAAGATATCTGGGTGTTTATTTTTAAAAAAAGAGTTGGAAACATTATATCCATCCATATAATTTATGTTTTGAATTTTAGGGTAAACGAGACAGTATTGATGTAGATAAAGCTGTAGAATATAATGTTAAATATTTATGAAATTCAGGGTAAACTAGACAGTATTGATGTAGATAAAGCTGTAGAATATAATGTTAAATATTTTATGAAATTCAGGGTAAACTAGACAGTATTGATATAGATAAAGCTGTAGAATATAATGTTAAATATTTTATGAAATTCAGGGTAAACTAGACAGTATTGATATAGATAAAGCTGTAGAATATAATGTTAAATATTTTATGAAATTCAGGGTAAACTAGACAGTATTGATATAGATAAAGCTGTAGAATATAATGTTAAATATTTTATGTAATTCAGGGTAAACTAGACAGTATTAATGTAGATAAAGCTGTAGAATATAATGTTAAATATTTTATGTAATTCAGGGTAAACTAGACAGTATTAATGTAGATAAAGCTGTAGAATATAATGTTAAATATTTTATGAAATTCAGGGTAAACTAGACAGTATTGATATAGATAAAGCTGTAGAATTTTATGTTAAATATTTTATGTAATTCAGAGTAAACTAGACAGTATTAATGTAGATAAAGCTGTAGAATATAATGTTAAATATTTTATGTAATTCAGAGTAAACTAGACAGTATTGATATAGATAAAGCTGTAGAATTTTATGTTAAATATTTTATGTAATTCAGAGTAAACTAGACAGTATTAATGTAGATAAAGCTGTAGAATATAATGTTAAATATTTTATGTAATTCAGGGTAAACTAGACAGTATTAATGTAGATAAAGCTGTAGAATATAATGTTAAATATTTTATGTAATTCAGGGTAAACTAGACAGTATTAATGTAAATAAAGCTGCAGAATATAATGTTAAATATTTTATGTAATTCAGGGTAAACTAGACAGTATTAATGTAAATAAAGCTGCAGAATATAATGTTAAATATTTTATGAAATTCAGAGTAAACTAGACAGTATTAATGTAGATAAAGCTGTAGAATATAATGTTAAATATTTTATGTAATTCAGGGTAAACTAGACAGTATTAATGTAAATAAAGCTGCAGAATATAATGTTAAATATTTTATGTAATTCAGGGTAAACTAGACAGTATTAATGTAAATAAAGCTGCAGAATATAATGTTAAATATTTTATGTAATTCAGGGTAAACTAGACAGTATTAATGTAGATAAAGCAGTAGAGTTTGTTGTATCTTGTATGAATTTTGATGGTGGTTTTGGATGTCGACCTGGCAGTGAATCACATTCGGGTCAAGTAAGTTCCATTCTATATTGAAAATACATTGTTAAATGTTCTACTGATTTCACAGTGATAGATATTGCTATACACTTTTTCACTTAATACATTTATGCATTTTGTATCATGTTAATTGACATCATTTTAATAGTGCTTCACATGAAATCATCTTAGCCTGATATGACTCCATTTTTTTTGTAGATATATTGTTGTGTTGGTATGTTAGCTATAACAGGACAGTTACACCATATCAACGCTGATTTACTAGGTTGGTGGTTATGTGAACGTCAGTTACCTTCAGGTGGTTTAAATGGTAAGATACATTAAAACTTTGTTCTTAAATCATTATGAATAAAACTTATTCTATATTTAATATCTTGTTGGACTCTTTCTTTATCAGCATGAAGTACCAGTATATCATTTTCAAAATCCTGATGATTTCTTTGAAAACCTTTGAGTTTTAGCATTAGCTTAAATCATCTTGGTTATATTTTAAAAGAAAAAGTAATTGGTTCAATGTTTACTTTAAGTTATCTATACCCTATAAGATAAACTCCCAAGATTTCACAAAGTGAATTTTCACTTTAGACAATATTTTCAAATATAATCAATACACTAATATAAATACCAATAATATGCCAAAACCATGTAGTAGAATTTTACCTGTGTCTGTACGTATTATATATACAATAATTCATACAATAACATTATATTACAGGTCGTCCTGAGAAACTACCTGATGTATGTTATTCATGGTGGGTTTTAGCTTCTTTAAAAATCATCAATAGACTACAGTGGATAGATAAGGTTTGTTATTATAGCTTTACATAACCCTTAGAATAGGAATGATGTCAAAAATCAGCATGATGTCTGAGAAGCAGGAAAAATTTATAAGTCAGTGGAAATTAACATAAGTCACCAGAATCTTTGTCATTTCTGTTAATAATTTAAGTATAGCTTGAATTGATATTATAATTATATTGATATAAACATCACTAGATGAGTTGTTTTATATTTTCAGAATAAATTAATAGAGTTTATATTAGCATCACAAGATGAAGAAACTGGAGGGTTTGCTGACCGGCCTGGTGATATGGTAGGTGGAATGATTTGGAATTTTTTAAAAAACCTTTCTTGCTCCGTATTGACCAGTCATGTCTGATTCGAGTTCTGAAGTGTTCAGACATTTTTTTTAATTTTTTATGACAAACTTTAGCAACTGAACCAATGTAAAACACCTTAATGTTCAGATGAAGACAATTCCAAGCAATAGCCTATTAAAATTTTCAACAAAGACCTAATTTAATCTAAATCTAATTCAATTTTTTGTTTCTCACCAGGTTGATCCATTTCATACATTATTTGGTTTAGCTGGTTTATCATTACTGGGTAATACTTCTATCAAACCTGTTAATCCAGTCTATTGTATGCCAGAGGATACTATTAGAAGAGTTGGGATTCAGTTAGATCTCTTATGATAAAGAATAATATGATACTGAATAATAGTGTAATAGTATACTGGATAATGTTTCTAAACAATATGTGCAATGTAGGTGAGAGAACCATGCTAGACATGTAAGATTAAAGATTTTCAGTTTCAAACAATCCAGGGATATTGTGAGCAGAATAAGCTGGGTATTTTATATTAATGATAATGATAAGGGATACAGTTGTTGTAACATTATCTATACAAGTTGATAAAGCTCAATGTCAACATTCTATAACAAGTTTCAGAATGAATAAAATCAGTCTTGATCAGCTGATAGAGCAAATACCTGGTACTTAGAACACTGTATGTCTTTACTCTGTGAAATAATAAATGGTTAAAAATGTTGTTGTTGGGGTTTCACTTCTGTAGTAAGTACATTGCAGTGTGCAATATGGAACTTTTTGAGTTCTGGTTACTCCTTGTTATGTATTCATGGGCAGATGAACGATATAAATGTAAGCGACGAAATAAACATGCTACTAAGACTTAAAACCGGAACTAGATCTTTATTTGTAACATTATATTTGCAAGGACATAACACTCCTTTAAATATTGCTTGATAACTCAAAACTTCATATCTCCAGTTTAGATGAACCACATTGTCCACAACTTACAAATTAAAACAAGAGAAAGTTGTATAATTAAACACATTTATTTTAAAATATCACAGACAATATAAATAATAAATATTGTATATAAAAATTATCACAATAGACAAAATAGACGATATCACACTATAACAAACTTCATTCACAAAATATCATCCATACAATATGAAATAATGAGAAAAATAAAATATGCCAGTCATTGATCTAAGAAAAAATTTGAGTGGAAGTTGAGGGTTCAAATTTAACAGGAAGCTATATTCATCTTAGTTATTTAACATTATATAATAAAAACAGGACAATTGGCTTCCTCTTAAAACTTATATTATATTATACATGTAAATTGTTTTTAAATTTTCAGTATTAGATTATGAAACATGATAACAAGTTACATATTCAAAAATGTACTTTTATAAAAATTAATATTGAAAATGAAATTAAAATGAAGATGATTTTGGAAGATAGACCTTAGATTTTATGAGAGTAAATTAAGAGATATATAAAGAATATTGTGTTTCTATTTTGTGGAATACAGCCTGTGTTGTTACAAACCTGATCAACCAGTCAAATAAGTTTCCTTTTACAATTTTCGTTCCCAGTAAAAACAGTAAAACAGTATGATGATATGATAAAAAACATTTATATGTTTTGTGCCCTTTGTCAGCTGTAAAAGACCATCTTATAATAAAACCATGTAGATTATGTTGTAAGTTGAGGCTGTGGTCCGACTATCTCATCCCAACCTTTACGACATGTTTTTACTATCCAATCATGTTCATCATCATCTACAATACAAATATCAATAGTGTTAAATACTACAGGCTACAATAACTATAGCTTGGTACTAAATGTTTTATGTTTTATAATGCTGTATGAAATTTTGATTAGTTTTTATATTCGAGGATAAGTTCAGCTCGTTGTTTAAATCACCCCTAAATCTTGTCAATAAATAGATGTATTGATGGAACTGCAGCTCACTTTATCCAAATAGCAAAGTATAGGCCATGAAATTTATCTTAAAAAACCATACTGATACAATAAGCAGGAGTTTTGTAAGTGTTCATAAATATAAAACAAACCTTATGAAGAAGCGTGTCAATTGGATTAGTGAAAAATAAGCTAGGCTGATTAACTTACCAGCATTTCTAAGGAATTTAAGATTATAATCTATTATAACTCTAGAGATAGGATTATAAAAACCATCACCACAGTCATAACAACCTTCTGGTATTTCTCTAGGTGGTACACGATTTGTTAACTGAGATCGACCTAAAATACATTCATTAAACACATGATGGTAATCATCTATTTACCAGACATCTGATTTGAAGAGGGTCTGTGGTGCAGTTTGTTAGAATGTTAGAATCTTTACATGATGTCATTTGTGGTCTTGAATTCTAATCTGAGTTGGAATGTGAAAGTTGTCTTTTCTCATTTAAATTCAAGCTGAGCATAAAAAAATTGACATCATTGTAACAGTCCTTTTCAGAATTTATTAACAATATTCTATAGAGTAAGGTTAAATAGTTTATAATTGATATGAAAGTTCAACTAACCTGCAGGTTGTAAACCATTACATATTTCTGTATAAAACCTTCTATCATACCCATCACAGTACTCCCAACCTTCTTCTTTATATTCTAGACCATCAGCAAACGTATACTGACCCTATAATATATTATATTCTAGACCATCATTAAAAGTATACTGACCCTATAATATATTATATTCTAGACCATCAGTAAAAGTATACTGACCCTATAATATATATTATATTCTAGACCATCAGTAAATGTATACTGACCCTATAATATATTATATTCTAGACCATCAGCAAACGTATACTGACCCTATAATGTATTATATTCTAGACCATCAGTAAAAGTATACTGACCCTATAATATATTATATTCTAGACCATCAGTAAAAGTATACTGACCCTATAATATATTATATTCTAGACCATCATTAAAAGTATACTGACCCTATATTATATTATATTCTAGACCATCAGTAAATGTATACTGACCCTATAATATATTATATTCTAGACCATCAGTAAATGTATACTGACCCTATAATATATTATATTCTAGACCATCATTAAAAGTATACTGACCCTATATTATATTATATTCTAGACCATCAGTAAATGTATACTGACCCTATAATATATTATATTCTAGACCATCATTAAAAGTATACTGACCCTATAATATATTATATTCTAGACCATCAGTAAAAGTATACTGACCCTATAATATATTATATTCTAGACCATCAGTAAAAGTATACTGACCCTAGAGAAACATTATAATGAATACTATCTGTTTTAGAACTTCAGTTATATAAGTTTGAAAAGTTCATAAATATTTTGTCTACGAACACGCTGTCAGTTTCATATTGCAAATTGCAAACAAAATTGCACTGTGAACATGCATTGTATTATTATTTTGAAGTTTGTAGCATAAAATGCAGTCTCTACAAAACTTTTTTATTATGCTTATTGGTATATGATGTCAATTTTAATCATATAATTTACCTCTGTTGCTATTCCATTCTCCCAGGTAGCCTGATATTTACTTCCATTAGGAAAAAATAATGTTCCTGTTCCATGGAACATGGTGTCTTTAAGTTCACCTTCATATCTTGTACCAGTAGGAAAATTATACAATCCTTTACCTTCTAACCTGAAGACAAAATAACCAACTATAAATTTGTCCATCAAAATAATAAAACTATTTTATCTGGTTTCCTATTGTTTCATATTATTTCTGAATTAATAATTAATTAACTAATAAGCTTACATATTTAAAAGTATAATGTGCCTTGTCTAAAGCTCTCAGACTGCTATTAGACAGTATTAGAACCATTCCTCAAACACAAGGCTAGGATTTTTACGGTATTTATTATGTAGCCTAGGCTTATTAAGTTATTATATTTATGATTGTAGGCCTCCATATGGGAATTGGACCGCCTGTCCGTGGCTTGAATTAACTTATCAAGTGAAAGTTAAACGTGTTTCGGCTCTCCGAAAGGTAAATGCAACTACAAAATATTAAAAACCAAGACAAAAAACACTAAACTATAATCACAGTTGAATATGTTTTAAGATATTGAGATTTTATATGACATTTTACCTTTTATTTTTTATATCGCCTTCATAACTGCTACCTGTATACTCCATTTTGACGCTGTTGTTAAGCAAATTGAGGGGAGATAACTTTATCAGATTTAGTCTCGATCGAAAAGACGTAACCTAGACAACAGACCACAAATATTTTAAAGATTTACCATGACTCTACACGACACGAGTTGCCATGTAATCGGCTATAATCAATCAAAATTTCCCATCCTGTTCAAAGTCGAATTTCGAAAACCGCTGATTCCGAAAAGAAGCGGCCCCCCTTCAAAGTTTCTTATCATTGCACATAGTGGAAGAATTCTCTGTGTGCTCTCTTCGATGGTCCCCTGTGTGGCCTCCCATCCATCGATTCTTAGAAACGCCACTGGCTGTGTCCTCGTGAATTTCTTGTGAGTGTGAATGCATCTTAGCTGATGAAGTGGGTTGGACAGATACTTCTTATTCTTTTCACAGACAACCGGCTATGTCATTTCATCAGGTCTTAAAATATTATATAGGCCAATTAAAAAAACACACACCGATTTCCGATTTGCCGTATTCTTTTTCATAGAACAATTTATATAAGTTGGTTTGGGCAGTGGATAAGAAATGAATAAGCCAAATCCCATTCTTTCATTTTCTATACTGACGTAATGGACATCAATGGCAAGTGTAGCACATTCACATTGACTTTAGAGGGAACTAATTTTACATGCACAGCCTGTAGCACACGTGTCTGCACTATTTCTATTCTACTACTTCTTTGTCTTCAACGCGTTAGAAACATATATCTTCCCCTTAGCAGATGCTATGAATATGGGACCGAAACAATAAACCATAACGTTTAAAGTCTGTCTGTCAAGGGCTCTGATTAGTTGTATTCGCTGCTGTGCAATTCAATCAAATTGCTGCATTCCGTGATGGTTATTGCAGTCAAGGTATAAAACGAAGTCCTAACACATTGAACATGGTGGATATGTTCTCTCAGAGGATTGAGAAAATGAATCCTGAACAAGATCAGCAATGAAGTTATCGATTGATTATCGTTTGTGAAAAAATCTAACCATTGAAAGAGTAGTTCGCCTTTTCAGTTCTCCTACTAGCCATGTGGTCATTCTTATTCTACCTTTTTATGACTCAGGTGATCCCATTCGACAATTCACTGCATTTTCCGTTATGCTGAATCTGTTGCAGAGCCCCAGTAGAACTTTCAAGGTAGACCGTTTGAGCCGAGCCCTTCCATCGAGCCACCCGTGATTCATGTGATTTATAGATACAGAACACAAGATTAGACATTGAATGAAGATTTATTATGCCACGAAAGCATCATTACAAAACAGATTTATCAACGTCATTGCAGCTACAACATCGTTCAATAACATTGCTTGGTCTTTTAAACACAAAACGAAAGATAAGTATAACAAACAGATCTTAGGGGAAATGGAATGTTTAAAAAAAATCGATAAAGTAAAAAAACAAGAAAGGAATTAACAGATCTTAGATTTGAATCTAAAGGTTGACTTTGACAGTACATGAAATAGTTGAAATAAAGCATATAAAAACATAGTCACATGATCAACAATGAATATCATTTCATCAACTAAATCAATCCAAAACTGCTTTAAATAAATAGAAACGCTAAAAAATAAGCAAGCAAATTTAAATCTACAACGAAATTTCATTTTAATAAAAAATCAATTTAAAAAAAGGGTATAAACGGAAGCTCATAAAATGGCAAGTAAAAGGACTATATAAGGACCTACTATAAGAACTGTTCACACATAGATAGATATCAGCAGTAAAAAAACATGTATGGCGCAAGAATTCGAAAAAGTTTGTAAAGAGATTGTAAAAGGCTTATTTGGCATTTATATGAATAGGCGATAATAACACCCTCCTTTGGGCCAATTTAAGGTAGCATAAAGGAGACCGTGAACACTAGAAAATCCCTTTACAATCCTTTCAATTTAACATCAAATTTATAAAGACAAAAATGGTGCAATGGTGCAAAGTATTTCTCGATATTCGTTGCTTCTTGTTTGACTGGATGGCGTCTTTTCAATGATATCTTAACTTAAGTACAACGAAAAAAAGGACCAATTTTACTAACATTGTCTGTACGGTAAGTTTGAGTGAAATTGGCCTCTTAAAGCCCCCATTAGGAACGTTTGTTTCGAAACGAGAGGACCAAGTGCTAGAGTTGTGCTGGAAAGAAGTGACTGATAAGTTATGAAATGACAATATTTGAACATTGAGTAGTAAGGCGATGCATTCGAAGCATAAAATGTAAGTGAATATGTAAAAGATACAATAGTGAAGAATGATAAAGCTGTACAATACATTTACATTATAAAGATCTGGTAGCATTGGGTGTTAAAAAAGTACAAAATAAGACGCTATCTACAGTTGTAATGATAATCTAAATTTTCCCCATAACGAATTTAGAACATATTTCTCAACACATCGGAATGTTCGAATTAAAATAGGTCATTATTAACCCTTCACCGTTTTTATTTTTAAATATTTTTGTTATTGTTCTATCTCAAACTCTAAAGTATAAATATGAAAAAATGAATAAGTATGAATTCAGATCTAACATTGAAATTTTTCTATTCTTTTTTCCATTCAAGACAAATCTTGCTAAAGCGAATGTTAATCATAAGGCAAGCAACCGAAAGTTTAGAAAGAAATAAGGCAATAAGTTAAATCATGCAAAAAATGGAGGGATGCTTAATAGCCGAAAAAGCGATTCTTTGATTTTAAAAAAGATTAATCATTCTCAAACATCGGAATGTCAAAATATATCATTCTATTATCTTAATAAGTAATAATAAAATCTAAATGTCACAACCTTCTCTATAAAAATAACAATAAAATGTACTACGTTATAATTATTAAATATACATTATCATTTCTAGAAAATCAGTTTTTGTTGGTCCCAAGAATTTCGTTAAATTTCGTTAAAATCGTTATATTTTGTCAATAAGTTTGAATGGAATGTTTACAAGTTTTTAAATTATTTGGGGATTCCGTTGAGGTAAGTGTCAACGCAGTCATTATGCAGGGCATTCTCACCCTTTTGGAACACCTCTTGGGATTATCAACTCGAGATATCTTAGGAAATGTAAGAATTAATTATGTTAATTAGTTAATAATCTTCGCATATTTATTGCCATCGACTCAATATGTTTTCCTAGTACGTCGAAGAGATCCATTGCAGGCTATACAATGTCATGTCTTCTGTTAATTGTCTTTACCTATATAGAAACATTTGGCTTCCATGGGTTGTACTGAAACCCCAGAGTTACCCTAACAAGACGGAGAGATCTAATAACAAGTAATAAATTGACTAATATTAAAATAATAATAACTAATAATAACCTCAACTAATAATAATAATATTAATTATAATAACGAGGAGGAAATTGTGCTGTTGCTGCAATGTTGGCGTATAAATTAAGTGTAAGCCAACAATATGGATACAACATGGAATAGTGAGATGGCTCCTGGCAGTGAGCTTGTCTTTATGTGTAGAGCGTGTTCTGGTTGTGGCAAGCTTTCTCCTGAAATAGGAAAAATATTTCATTTATTATCGGTTAGCCTAAAGGAATATACATGTAGTCGGTTGAATATTGATATCCCTAATGATAGAAGTCCATTTTAGATATCAATTTTACTTTCAAAAGCAGAAAGTTGACTTTCCAATTCCTTTAATTTTCACCCTAATTTTAGTTTCCTGTTGGGTGTTGGAATTTGAGCTAACCGCTGAAATCCCATCTACAGCACCCGAAGTCGTAAACAGAGTTGTACCTGGAACACTTTAATAGAGTTCACTCAGCAGCTTATGTTTGTTTATCGTTCCTTAAGAGTCAACAATCATGTGAAAATTGTATTACTTACATCTCCTTTAGGATTAAGAAGAACTGTTTTAACGTGAGCTCCTTGTCTCCATTCATCTGCATCTCTAAACACCAGATCGTAGGCATCAGCTTCACTAGCGGCTTTTCTGGCCCAGATCTATATTACATTACAATTAATGAATCATTGGAATAGAGCAGTGATGGGGAGTACAGATCGTTAATAAAGTAGACCAATGCATTGGGTAATGTAAAGAAGGACATATTTGGCCGGGATCTAAAATAAAACATGACCTAAACAAACGAGTAGATAACAGTAAATCGTGGCACCATTCAGCAAAATCCCTACTAATATTGGGACGTTTATATATTGCACTATCTGATGTGCTGTAGATATCGAAGTATGTTGATTTTCAGCCCGCAATAGAGTAGATTGACCGAGTCCCCACTTATCAGTCACCCTATTAGCAAGCTACTCAGATGGATGCAGGATTTTGCAAAATTGTACTTATATAGTATTTAGGTCTGTGAGCTCTCCAAACTCAACTAACCCTCTCTGATTGATGATAAGAATCTTACCTTAACACTAGCTCCAGCTTTCAAGACGAAATTCCTAAAGTGATAAACTTGTTCTCTGTATGTTTCATTATCTACTGTACGTTTGATTCTAAAACCATCGAGATCTACATCCTGAATTATACAAATTTATCATAATCAGTTGAATGGGGGTTAAGAACCGTGGTTGGCGTTGAAAATGTTCTTTTTCTTTTGGGAAACGTCTGTGGGGTGATTGTGTTGGACGTTATCAAACGACATTTTAAAGTATTATGACCACCTGCGACCACCATAAGGGGAAAGACCTTAAACAAATCAAGCATGGTTTTAATTATCAAAACGCCGTGTCTACTACACTATGTATATATCTAAACTGAATGAAGTGTACTTACCCTCTTATTTCCAGCAGTACTGGTGTTCTCCAGACAGATGTATCGTCCTTGAGGGTCGACATCAGCAATAGAGACTGGTCCATTCTGAGTCCTCTGGTAGGTGGTTTTAGCTGATACTTCCCCTCGCATCATCTTCATACCAAGGTTCGAGTCTTATAGAGAGAAATATATACTTTAATATAACTTTGGATTGAGAAGATGCCCTATTTCAAACAGTAACATTAAGCTGAATTACTCTCGTCTCATGCCGAGCGCTATATTTGTATTTGATTTTCCATAGGCTTCAAATGAAAAAAAAAAAAACTTTTGAACAAAAGGGTCAAAATCCAGCCAAATAATCAAAAAAACATTTGTTTGAGACATTATACAATCTATAACGCGAGCTTATGCATCGTCAGCAACTCCTTGCCATCCTTAAACAGAATAAGAGCTTTTTTGGTCAAATATATCTGCTGAAGACGGTTAATAACACTATGCAGTAAAAAAGAAATTGTATAAGATAAGAGACTAGACATTGTCATGATATTACCAGGATAAAAGATATTAGAATTATGTTTTAGTTTATTACGTCATCAAAAGCATACAAAATAAACCAGCAGCACCAAATAATAAGGGGACATAATCCAAAAAATCCGGATGAAAAATATTGTTCCTAAAGCTTCTACAGTGATAACTAATCAAGAATATAGTCCTTGTATATTGTTTAAAGAGATCAAGAGAAAATTTGGCTGTGAAATTTAGTGACAATTCTAAGTAATAAAACAACAAAAGTCAAATTTGAAGGTTAAATTGATAATGAAAACGGCCCACGGCAAAAATGTTTAATTTTGATTCTAATTGTGGTAATATTGGTGATGATAAACATCAAATTGAACAACCTTTTTCTTTCTCTGAAATTACTCAAACGTTCAAGTTATAGTCAGAAAAGCACTTTGGAACACATTTATGAAAAAGCATCAATATCTAAAGAGATACCTTCGTCTATTCATTCCGCTTACCAAATTATATAATTTTTTAATTGTATACCAATGAATCGTCGGATTTGCAATCTGAAAACTGACAAGAGTATAGCTGGGTAAGCGGATATTCAGACGAATGTATACCTTTAGTTACAAGGTTAATATCAAGGAATCCCAAAACCACCATAAACATATATTCACAATGCACACGAATTACTGTTTACCCATACCCATATAATGTGATAGTTTAATATATAGCAAGAGTAGTAGACAAGCGGTTAAAATTGAAGCAATATTACAGAAAAGATAGAAAATATATTATTAAAATTGTCAAAACAAAAAAAAATTAATAACAAAGATGGATACATGCTTTAAAAATGTGTATCTCAGATAAAACAAACTAAGAGATGGAAATGAATCAGAGACGGTTGTGTTAAATAATTGAAATTTGTACATTTATTGGCATGACTTTGACCATTAGTCCTATATTTCAAACTTCCTATAACCAAACCATCAATTTGATCACGATAGGGAGGTATTTTATACATGAAATATCCATAATGTCTGGAACGGTTTTCACTTCATTATTTAAAATTTATGTAATAGATTACTCCAGACAAAAGGCTTAAAGTTAAAGTCAAAGTGACAAATATCTATCATTACTTTGCTGGGTTCGACTGTGAACCCCTATCGCCGAGAGGTAACAGGTGGTCGGGAAGTTAAAGATAAATAATGGCGTACTCTACCACATCATTAAAATAATCAAAGAGTAAGTGTATGTTAGAGAGAATACTTAGTAGTTATATTAAGTGTTTTATTAAGTATTACTATTTAGTTTTACTATTTAGTTAGTATATTATTATCTAGCTAGGTGAATGCCAAGTAACTATACCAACCAGAACTACTACTCTCGAATGTATTGGATGTATTAATAATATCTGATAGGCGAGCACTGCCACGATTCTGTACATTTACAACTTGTTCCACTACTTGCTTCAAACCAACTCTAGATACAGGGGAGAAAAGGGGAAATAAAAATCGTGCAAAACAAAATAATAAAAAAAAACAAATAAAAAATAAACCTAAAAATTTAAAATTGACAAGGAAATTTTATTTCCAATTAAACGAAAAAAGTTTGGAAACTAAATTCTTGAAGATCAAACAAAACTGAAAAGAAAAAATAAAAGTAGAAGATATAAAACATAACTTGTAGAGAAAATTTCCAGAAAACCTTCTCAAGATCTTAACTGAGATTTTCTTTTCTCCTGATTGTAGGAAAATGCGGTAATCTGATTACTGTAAATAAAATTTGATTTATAATCAATGTTATAAATAACCTAATAGGACGATTTAACACCAAAAGTATCGCGCGTTAAGTTCTTGAGAAGCTCCCAGAACATCACGAGGACCAACACCCTGTTTATGATTCCAGTGAACATACCGGTACCGGATGTTCCAAGCGTCCCCTGCTTGAACAGTTTGCCCCAATCAGGCTCTGGAAAATTTCCTTGAATATTGTCAGGTGAGTGAGATAGGAAAGTATCGCCTACTGTGTGATCGTGTGGAGTCTCGTCCAGTGTATGTGATTTAACGAGAATACGTGTACCCCATTCGTTTTCACTATCTGAACTGGAACCATAGGTTGGTTCGCTATGTGATCTTGTAAACTGTGATGGAGTAATTCCCCCGGCGGTATAAATCCCATTGGTTTCACTTCTAAAGATTTAAAATTAAATGATAAAAAAGTATAAAATAAAAAATAGAAACGAAAATATTCTTGACGAATCAGGTACGGTGTAAATAAAAACCTAAGAAAACGTGAACTCAACTGAAACTTGAAAAAGTTTGAAATTTAATTTATACACTAATTTCAAACACTCGGCAATACTACAAGTAGAACAATGAAACAGCAATGCGCTGCGAATTTTAGTTGAAAAAATCAAATCGTAAATCTACGTTCATCTTATTTTATATCAGTGGACAAATTTTGTAGTATAAATGTAAAGTGTTTGATAAAATGTTTTAAACACAAACAGCAACTTTACAACACCTATAATCTGAAACGTGAAATATGAAGTATGAAATATTATAAAATTCACAAAAAGCACTGTGCTAATATGGCAAATGTCTTTTTAAAGCAATGTTAACAGTTCATTCGTTTGAACAACAATATTGCGTGACGCGCGTTACAATATCCATTGGACTGTGGTTGTTCTTCAGTAGTCGCTTCACCATCTATACGCTTTCTTCTCGCCCTCGTCCTTCTTATCATCGTCCACGCCGCCACCACGAGAAGAACTAAAGCTCGAGCTGGTACTATGGCGTTCCTCGTACCCTCCGCCACTTCCGCCACCACTAACACCTCCACTTCCGCCTCCTACACCGCCACTACCATGCTTCTCGTAGAAACTATGTAGATCTTTCCTCACGTTTTCTGATGTATAAACGTCCCTGGAACTTGTTGGTCCATCAGTGGAATGCCAAGTCTCGTCCCTATAGAATGAAATTGAGGGTCGTCAAGTAAAATACAGTCATCTACACACATAGATACAAGGGATGGTGTAAACTTCAACTAAAGGAACCAAAATGTACAAAAACAACCAAAGTTGAACATCAAGTAACTCATAAACAACATCCAAAGCAAACTGTGACGGAAGTGACGTAAATGTAATCTCACCGTCATCATCTCCTCCATTTTTAACACTCCCAGTGCCCTCTCTTACACTACCTTCCTCACTTCCGGCTCTCCCTTCGCTTTCGGTTCTTGCCTCGCTTCCGGCTCTCGAGTGACGATCCTCGTCATAGTAACTACGAACTGTTTCACGCAGAACTTGAGCATCACCACCCTCATTAGGTTCAAGTCTTCTAACTACCGTCACGCCCTCGTGGCTGTGACAGACATCCAACCTATAGGATGGGGAGGGACGGATTACTTTAATTTCCAATTTCGAAATAAAACAATTAAAACTAAAAACAAAATGACGACAATCTTTACAAAAATCAAAACGTAGGAAGCAAAAGAACTAAAACTTTAGAATGGGCCTAACCGAATGTTTTACAAGCGCACCCGTTCTGCAAACGCAAAGTATCTTGATGTTAAATCATTTATGTCAGCTTTTGGAAACAGTCATAACTATCTTACTTATACGTAGAACGTAAATTCGGCTACGTTTTGTGATCGTTTACGTCCACAACCAATGACACACTATATGCCTTTTCAACGTCATTTCCTACAACTTGCATCATTGAAAGAGATATCATGCTATTATATACCGCCGACTTGAATAAAAACAAAATACTTAATTACTCAGGAATTCAAGGATAAAGAGGAAACAACGGGTAAAGCATTAGAAACTCCTTTACCGTCGCTTGTAATTTTGTTTTCTATACATATCTATACAGGTATTTGGACTTCATTATAACAGAAAATGAAAGTAAAATAAAAAGTTACATAGTGATGCAAAGAAATCATGATGCCTTCTGGAATCAGAGAGCAAAAATACTGGTTATTAGTGTAAAAACATGCCGCAAACATAAAATCTAAAAGAAGTTGTACACTTGATAATCGAATTCAAAATATCTTTGAATCAAATGATCACAATCCTGAAAGATGACACAAAACATTAAAACAGAAATAATACACTACTGAATACAGACAACGATACAATATCAACTGAAAATATCTTACAACACAACTTGAAGTACTGTTTCATAGGAACGACCAAACCCATTTATTAACCTTACAGCTTGTGGGGCATGTTTCAGCTGCTTTCAAATAGTAAATTTGTTGTTACATTATCTCCCACTCTACATGATGCAATATTCGAGGAGCTGAAACAATCCCTACAAGCTGTTAAAGCATAATGGCCCTGGTCAACCCCTTTAAAGGAATACAATTCACTAATTATTCGCTTTAACAGTTGATACAACCAATACTGCTTTTTAGAACGTAACATTCGTGGGGCAAAACACCTTTATTTCATTATAAAAAAACTCAGTGTTTACTCTGCCAATATGTTGTATCACCTGTTAAAACGAATTTTTAGAAGTGACCTGTTTTCTTGTCATTACAGGTTTCCAAATAGCACATTTGAATGAATGACATGAATTTTAGAAACCTATTCTATGCAATTCATCGACAGTCCTTCAACATGATGCAGAAAAGATTCATTTAGTCTCAAGTTAGTTTTTAGTGTTTAGTAAAACATCGATCTACTGATAAAATCGTTATGGAACAACTCTCTCTAGACATCGTTGCATTCAGATTACTCAAATTTAAACCAAAATTTCAAATAGAAATACATTTCAAAATACGTCATCGCACATCAAAACTGAGTTTCTTTCATTTTTGTTCGTTTTACCTCAGGTTCTTGAATTCGCACATTATCTATCTTCTGATCACTGTTCCAATAACTGTTTCAGCACACCTTACTAGTGTTTTAAAGAATCAAAGACAGACTTATATCATACATACCGGCTCTCTTCACCCTCCAACAGTTTTCTGTAAGCAGCGATTTCCAGTTCCAGAGACAGCTTGGCATCCATCAGAGTCTGGAGTTCTTGAAGGATTCCTTCCATTTCAGAACGTAAGGTTGTCAGTTCCTTCTTGAATTCTGTGACCTCCAGAGCATGAGTGTGTTCGGATGATTCCATTTGATTCATTAGATCTTGATATTGTTTCTCAAGCTGGGCATTCTAAAAATCAACAGAGGTACATTAAAGTATATTAATGTTACTTGGTTCGATGCTGTCAAAAATATCAGGTAAATACGCTTCTACCATGCTGTTTAATGGAGAGATTCGTTAAATAATAGATTCAATTAGCAAAACAGTAACCGAGGAAGGATATATGGCCTTTACAGAATGTAAATAAGAAATCCTAAGAATATTCATAATTCTTTTCTTGCTTCGATATAATAATTATAATAATAGTGTATTGGTAGTTGTATGGGCCAGATTGTTACCAATAATGTTGAAGCTCGCTACTTAGTAAGAACTCAAATATTACTTACTCTAGCCTCAAGATCGGCCATTCTGCTTCTGGAATCTGACAATTGTTTGCTGTACTTCTTAACTTCTTCACGGTGAGTTGAAACTTCCATGTTCTGTTTCGCGGCCCCAGTTCTATATTCTTGTACCTGAATTAAAACACATAGATATAAATGAAAATCAATTCATAGCCTATAGTCGTTCAACATCTTATGAGCGAACGAGATATTTTGTGGAATAATTGAGATTTATTTACGTCCACTTGCTGCATTAAGTAAGTTTATTAGTTAAGAAAATGAGCTGCCACGAGGATTCACGTTCTGGATCTACCTTGCCCCAATGAAATGGCATGGAGTTTTACGTCCTACAATGCGGTCCCTTACCTTGAGATTGTAGTAAGCTTCCATATCACCTCGGATAGAGTCCACCTTGGAGTCATACTCGTTCTGGATATCTCTGATAGCTTGAGACAATTCATTCTTCCAGAACTCACGGTTCTCGGCAGTGGTGTCTCGGTAAGCAAGAGCAGCAAGTTCCTTCAATTCCTGTAATGAAAGAAACATAAGAGTCAAGCATAGTAAAGCACTCCTGCTGTTTTGATAAGAAGCTGTAAGCGCCCACACAATATGGTTCGAACATAGAAACGTATCAAGCGTACCAATATCATTATTGTAGATTAGTGAAATTGGTGACTGTTAATCCAATACTTAAAATTCACAAAGAATTCGAATCAGAATGCAGAATTCTGAAACATATCTTTACAGAGTTACTTAGTTTTATCGTTTTGGTGAAAACATCGTATAAAGCCAGAGAGCAAATTTGGTGGGTGTATGACACTTGTACGAGAAAGCAAGCAGGTAGCTGGTCGGATATAACTTTAGGATAACAATCCTAAGATTGTTAATTAACTAGTTCTCACGAAAGCATTGAGTAACCCGTCGGATATACATTTAAGGTTATAACCATGAGGTTATCTGGACAGTGATGATATCCTAATAGTTTAGTGTTAACACTTAGTACAGGAAAGTAAGGAATAACCAAATATACAATTAAAAACCATGGGGATATTCGTATTGTAAATGTGCCACAAACCTGTTCATGAACGCTCTTCATAAATTCAATTTCTTCCTCCAGAGTTTGTCGTCTGTTTTCAGCTTCCAAACGACCCAATGTTTCTTCATTTAGATTCTGAAATATTACAATGAGTAATTATATATCTAGAATAAACCATGCAACGACCTAGGTTCAACATCATACAGCATTGTTTTTACAATTATTCATATCTTTTACTGATTAAAGTGGAAGCTTGAACATAACAAGGTTTGTGAGAAATTCATGTATCTCATTGAACGCAAATTTGTTGGTTAATGTTAATACTGTAAATTTATAACAGCTATTATTTTGTATTCAAGATAAATATGTCAACATTATGAGTCGTTAATTGTTCTGTAGAGTTTCTTACTAAACAAAAATATCTTAATACATGTATATATTTCTAATAATGATATATAGTTGATATGCAACTAGTGAACGAGTAGGTGGCTGAACTTGTACTGTGTATTTTGTCAAACTAGTGTGAATGCATACCATAATGTACATAAACTTGTACAATGTTGTTTAAATACAGGTTTAAAAAAGTCACGTGATTAATTCTTTTGACTTATATTTACAGACTATTTGAATGTAAAAAACATAGCGTATATCTTAAACAGTCCTGAATAGTAAAGCAGTATTGGTGTTTTTAAATCTCAAGTGAAGGTACATGTTACTGCATAATAAGAAAACAATTTACAGTATTTGTATTCAACAAGCGCTATAAATTTAATACATTGATTTACAAAAATATTTTGATTGAAATAGTAATAATAAAATTTTAATTGACATATTTTAGAAAGTCATGTCTCTGCATAATTAGAATTAGAACTTAAAGAAAAGATTGGAGCTAAGTCGACATTTGTGCGCTAAAATTAGACTTTTGTTTGAATGTATTGAAATTTGTAATAAAACATTTTCTGACCTCGCATAATATTATAAAATTAAACAAAAGATTTCACAACATTATTCACTGAATATTAGGCAATCTCAACCTTTATTCACTTAGTTGTTCACCTAGCTTCTGTATACTTAAAAGTGCAGATAGTTACATTTCATGTAACTCTTTTACGTAACACCATAATTCATGAGCACTCTACTTACAGTGTGCCATTTGTTTTTACTAACGAGTCTCAGAAACGGGACTTTTATTTAGCTAAGCCAATGAGTAATAGTGTTCACAGCTCACCGTCGAAATTTGAGCCTTCTAATCCACGTGTCTCCAGAATTATCCGCGCTTGAATGTCCCTTTTAAGTAAATAACATAACCTTATGAAGTATAATATTGTACACAATGGTTAAACGACTGCCCTGTGTTCTAAATGGGTTTTATCATGTTTCTTTAAAACATATTCGGATGCACCACAAGGATAATTCAAAAGTATTCTTTCATTGACAGTGTAATGGCTAACTGTACATTAAATAATAATGACCTTAATACGCCTCCCTGTGGTATTCCTAGTTATGGCAGAATCGGATGCTGATGGAACGTTTTTTTTGTCTTAGCGAAGAGTAAACGAAATGAATTTAGTTGCTCTATTGTTCTTAACCTTTTGTTATATCGAAGACGTTCGACGCATTGATCAATAACATATATTTTGCTATAAGGGGTGCCATTCTTAACCCTTATAACACAGACAAGGACTGCAGTTTATGAGAAATCAGTGTTGATTTTAAAAAGGTAATTTTAAAAATCAGCAGAGTATTATTTCATTAGTTATGTAGGTATACATTCAGCATATTATATCAGTTAGCGATTGATACAAGCCATTTTACTACAACCTATTATCAGCTATAAAATATCTACTGAACAGTGAAATCTGGTACAAAAATAACTCAATATAATATTCACATGAACATTAATGTCATTCAATTCATACGTTCAATTCATGCTTACATATTTGATATTTTCAATAGGGCTATTTTATAAAAGGGGCTTGACTCATTATTATATGTGTCTATTCTTTTTAACATATTTTCTATCTGAATGGATCGCTTGTTATGTTAGAAAATATCAAGTATTCAAGCTAACTTAGCAAATTTCATTTAATCAATAATCTGACCTATAATAATCTGACCTATATTGTAAGTTAATGTAAGATAAGCTATTATTTCATTTCTTTAGAAATCAGAGACGATAGTGTGTGGTCGTTGGATTGGAATTTGTAGCACTGAGTGCAGTTTTAAGTTTAAATGCAGGACAAGATTCAGTAAGATCAGATTATTGAATCTTCTGTTGGTGATTCCACTTACCATCCCCAATCTGAGGAAATTGTCATGCACCACGGGTTCTTATCCGATATAAAATACATCCAATCAAACGCCTTATTTAAAGTTTGAATGATTGTTCTCGCCATCAGACTGATCAATCAAAAACATGTAAATCAATTTTAGAAGTAGTTTTATTATCAAAACAGATTATGATATTTAAAAATGTGGATTTTCTCTTCAGTAAGTTTTCGCGAATAAGGCTCCTTTCAATATACTAGACTTTGTGTATAACATGTGAAGAATATTGGAATCTCTATTGCGGAAAATTCACGTATACTGTGAGTTGACTTTTAACAGTTCATGATATATAGTTTGTAATAAAACGAGTAAAGATTTAAACTTACAATTCTCAGTTTTTCTACTTCATCTTGAAGTCGATTGATGATGCTCTTGTCACGTGCACGCTCAGTTTCCAGAGACTCATTAGTTCTTCTGAGCATGCGTACTTCGGCTTCCAGTTCTGATATCTGAGCATTGAGCTTGTTGATAAGTTCTCGGTCTTGTGATCTCCATTTCTTAGCTTCGTCAAGTCTGGAAAGAGATGTAACAATAATATAAGGAACTGCTTAATTTATTAATGTAACATAGTTCACAGTTGTTAAGATTTTATATCTTTGAGATATACTTTAGCTTGAGTGATATAACATGGTGTTATTTGAAAACGCCAACATGGTCTGTGTTGGTGTTAACAACCATTTGTTCACAGTAGTTTTGTGTTGGAGCTACGTATAATGTACTAACAAATTGTCTATCTGGGTATGGGTTTTTGGTAAATTTTAAATGTGTGATATGTAAGCTGTATTTATTTATTTATAGTTCAAATTTGTTTTAATGATCATCATATAAGTATTTGTATATGTTTCACACGCATTAGGTTGTAGACAAGTATGTGGCTAAATGAAAGTTTTTAACTAATGTGAAAAAAGAAAGAAGAAATTTTTTTGTTTATGGGACGAATATAAGTCAATCTTATTTGACTATATTTGAACGCCGCTCTTATAGAGAAGTAGGTTACAAGGTGTGTTATATGTTGCACCAATAAATTTTATATCATGGGTATTTCGTGTCTCTATAAAGATGTAAGTAATAAAAAGTCAACTGTATGTGGGATGAATACACTCCCACTGGGTAGATTTAAACGATAAAATATGTTAAGTATCTTACATATCACAAATAGTATCAAATAACTTCAAGATCAAGATGACATAACGTGCTTTAGACCAGAATTTGGAAATGAATTTTAAAGCCATTTAAACGATGATAAATGTGTCCATGACCATATATGAATTTTTTTTTTCATTTACCACTGACTGAGTCGGTGCATTCCGATATGAATATGTCAAGACAAATATTTCGGGATCTCTTTTCATTTAACTTATAGATGGTTTTACTTCATATGTTTAAGGAATGTGTTAAAAACATATAAAGCGTATCGTTCCACATCGTATTTGGACAAAGAAGATGATAATGCAATAATACCAATCGTTACCTTCTTTGACTAAACTAGCTGCATCCAAGAAACTATTTGACAGAATAGTGGAAGGGGAGTTCCTTTTGCTTGATTATATTGAGTGTATTGTAAATTCTGAAAACGTTTTTGTTAACCTTCAATGTACAGTAGGCTAATGAGTTGACCAAATGATTAGTACGGTATGACAGGAACCAACATAGATTACTCTTCTTTATCAAATATTGACCAGTGTATAGATTAGCTGCTGTTAATCTCTGTCACGTTTACAAGGTAATCTAGTGAAATTTCTTCCGAGAACTACCATCTTGGCTTCAACATGTCCATATAAATGTCCATAGTCGAGTATAACTGTGATTGGTATCAGATGGAAATCGCTTCGAGAACTTTATCTTGGCTTTATGTCCAACTAGATCAGGTACAATGCTGCAGAATAGGCTAGAATATGCAATAATACAGACTAGTGCAATAGCCTTATGCTTAAGGTTGTTACTTTCAGAAACAAAAATGCTAAATGGAAGTATTGATGTTTAAACGGTTCGAGGAAAGACTTCAATGTTATAGCCAGACACGGACAGGGGTAGTTGATAACAGTTGCCAACACAAGGCAGACTTTTGGAAGCACAAATATCTGCAGAGGCAGTTTTCTGTAATTAATACACAATGACGGCTTATTTAAAGAATAGGTTTCAAGTGAAGTTAAGATTTGCTGATGGCCAACAAGACGGTTTAGTATATAGTGGTAATTGTGATGTAAACAATAGTAGGTTTTAACATGAGTTTATCTTCCTACAATGTCAACATTCAAACTAGGTCAAGTTGGACTTGATAACTTCAAAGTAAACCATTAATAATAACTAAATCTACCCTCGCTCCAAACGTCTTCGTCGAGACAAGAGAAAAGCATTCACATTGTACCAGGATAAAATCTTTATAACGCTGATCCTTTTTTCAAACCACTTACTTGATCCGAACGTCTTTGCAACACTGTTCTGCACTGGGCATTGTCATGTTGTGTACAATGTCAAAAATGAGGCACCGACCCCCACTCTTTCGATTCCAACTGTCGAGGGGTGTTTAACGTGCACAGTCTGGAGCACACAGTCTCGGTCTGTAAACTGTACGGAAGAGCACTAATTTTTTCAAGGTTTCTTTCCTTTTAGAGTGCCATAAAGATTACATATATTATTATATGATATATATCAGACGGAAAACTCCCCATGCTATCATTTCTAGGTAAATAATTCCCTGTATGAGAGGTAGATTGATATCTCAACAAGCAATGTTATATCAAACTACATTATTGTTATATAACCAATCAATCTAGATTGTCTGAAATCTGGAACCGTGGTTCGTATATTCTTATATAAATCAGACAAGTCACGGAACCAATGGAATTGTAAATGTCAGGAATCTATCATTATTTGATTACTTGATTTTCTTGTCTTGGATGTGACCAGAATTCCAACTGATGTTCTAATACGTAATTTCTTTGTAATCCTCTTAGTTTAAAAAAAAGAAATGAACAGACGTTTCAACATTTTAAAGATTACTGCTAGAATAATTGCCCCCGACCATCTTAAAAGCCCACGCGCAATAATGCCAATTTTCGAATAATTTAGTGTATGCTAAAAGGAAAGACATTTGTCGCCGTTGCTTTATATTCCACTACTTCAATAACATTGTTTGATAATAAAGCCTGCATATTTAAATAATTTCAATAACAGCACTGCAGACTTGATCAGTAATATTTTACTCTAGATCAATGATCTATTTACAAAGACAAATTACTATTGATAAAATCTTCAATAACGTAATGAAGAATGAACTGAACAGAATATTGTATCGATGTGTTCCACTATCCGTTCTTCTATATCGATCAGAGAAATACAATGATCTGAGTAATGGTAGATATTTTACTCCACGAGGCTAATTATTAGTTCATATAGACTTTCTTCACAATGTCAAGGTATTACAAAGTGCTTCATGAATTCAAGGCATAAGATGGAGTTCGTTATACCTTACCAATGTAAAGGTAACAACATGCAGTCCAAAGTACATTTTACAGAGCTTGATATCAAAAGCTGTATTCCATACCCGTGCTGCCGAAGACCAGAGTAAGCCCTTTGTGAAAAATGGATATCCCTCCACCCATTTTACACAGCTCAATATCATAGGCAGTGCTCGATACACGTTCTGCTATTTACACAAGACTTGAACAAGGAATGAAGTAAGAGATCGATATTCTACTTAGCCAGGTTGATTATTTTTTTATAGTATAAATACCACAGGAATGTTCAATAACGTACTCAGGTCGTACAATGCAATATCTACTTCAGCATTCTTTATTATTAATATACAGTCTAATGGTCTGTCTCGCTTACAGTCTAATGGCCAGTCTAGCTTACAGTCTAATGGTCTTTGAAGCTCTGCTTTCTGTCTCAAAGCTATGCAAGGGGTAGCACTATACATTTTGATTACAATTATAGCTCAGTTTGAAAATATACGAATGCAAACTTGAGCCAAGATGATAATCACAGTGTCCATTGCTAGTCGCTGCATTGTAACATTGCAGAGATGCGTTTATGGTTAATGTCAAAATATCACATCGTCTCAATGAACTATAGGCTACTCTACAAATCTGTACAGTTTCGTTATCTTCACTATTTCTTATAAAACACCCAGCTTAACACCTTTTGCATGCGTTGTTTGCAACTCATATCTATTGCAGTATGAAGAAAGCGAGATCAGGGGAATAAGCCAACCCAAACGAGCCATAAATAAAATGATTCAATAAACTAAGCCATGTAAAAGGTGTAAGCTGATGTTGGTGGTATAACCTAGATTAATACCATTATTGACTGATGCTCGAACACAGAAAATTACAAACGATATTACTCTCGATGGAGCTCTACACACGAGATGGATATCGATTATTAGTTATCATTAACATCTCCAATGCTGCCAATATCTGTCAGATTTATAGGCTTTTATCGGCATTAAAATGATGAGAGATGACTAGTAAAGGTATGAAGTTGGGGAGTCTCTACTAAACCGAAATGTAACCTTCTTGAGGCTGCATCAGTGGCAATGTTTGTACGCAATTATTTCAAAGTCAAAACAATCAATGACATATGTATGAATAGAATAGAATGGTCGTGCAAGGTAAGATACATCAGAGAGCCAAATGTCCGTGGAAGAGGGAATCGCCATTTCTACTAAGTACATTCTTTAAAATAGGTGGATCTTCCAAGTCGATTTTCTTGAAGGGAATTGTGATTTTCCATAACGAAATTAGATAGGCATATCCCTTTAATCTTCTGCATAATAATTTACCATCTTTGCTGATAAACCTACAACTAGGTTTCAATGTTGAAACAATATAAATCCTATATATAATGGAAACTAATGGTTATTGGTGAAATCATTTTATTTATTGCAGATTTACACTTCAGTTTGTAGAGGATTGGGCGTTATTAGGTTAGAGAGTAATATGTGATGGCAATATTCAATTTGTAATTCAGGTCAATAATGGTTATGAGCTCGAATCTCTTTCAGTGTATGAGGGCAAACTAGAATCTTTACTGCATGTGTATCGAAACGTTGCTCAAATGGGAGGGATTAGTATTATATCCATTATCTTGTTGTTATTTTCTCTATTTATAATGGGGTGTCGTTCCTGTTCTTTTCGTAGTACTTTTCGTTATTTCAATGGACCCAGTTACATGCAATAATTAATGCACAATGTTTTCAATCTCAGAACTCATCTCTGTACATCACACTCAACCATTTATTGTTTGCTTCTCTTATAATACAAGTTCTAGCAACATTAATTTTTATTTTCAAGACATTTTTCTCACATGCTTTCATCTTTCAGTTTTATGGAACAACGAGATCGTCATATCAAAGATGATCAAATGATCCACTTTATTCACCAGCAGCTATATTCCATTACCACTTCAGTTTTATTCTTCATATTCTTTCATTTTAGCTTGCATAATCTTGTTTTATAGCAAAACTCTTAAAAATGAGACCGTCCTTTCAGAAGTAATAAAATTATCGA